GTTATATGGAGTAACTGTGATGATATGGGTTGTATGGAGTAACTGTGATGATATGGGCTGTATGGAGTAACTGTGATGATATGGGCTGTATGGAGTAACTGTGATGATATGGGCTGTATGGAGTAACTGTGATGATATGGGCTGTATGGAGTAACTGTGATGATATGGGCTGTATGGAGTAACTATGATGATATGGGCTGTATGGAGTAACTGTGATGATATGGGCTGTATGGAGTAACTGTGATGATATGGGCTGTATGGAGTAACTGATAATATGGGCTGTATGGAGTAACTGTGATGATATGGGTTATATGGAGTAACTGTGATGATATGGGTTGTATGGAGTAACTGTGATGATATGGGTTATATGGAGTAACTGTGATGATATGGGTTATATGGAGTAACTGTGATGATATGGGCTGTATGGAGTAACTGTGATGATATGGGTTATATGGAGTAACTGTGATGTTATGGGCTGTATGGAGTAACTGTGATGATATGGGTTGTATGGAGTAACTATGATGATATTGGCTGTATGGAGTAACTGTGATGATATGGGCTGTATGGAGTAACTGTGATGATATGGGTTATATGGAGTAACTGTGATGATATGGGCTGTATGGAGTAACTGTGATGATATGGGTTATATGGAGTAACTGTGATGATATGGGCTGTATGGAGTAACTGTGATGATATGGGTTGTATGGAGTAACTGTGATGATATGGGCTGTATGGAGTAACTGTGATGATATGGGCTGTATGGAGTAACTGTGATGATATGGGCTGTATGGAGTAACTGTGATGATATGGGCTGTATGGAGTAACTGTGATGATATGGGCTGTATGGAGTAACTGTGATGATATGGGTTATATGGAGTAACTGTGATGATATGGGCTGTATGGAGTAACTGTGATGATATGGGTTGTATGGAGTAACTGTGATGATATGGGTTGTATGGAGTAACTGTGATGATATGGGCTGTATGGAGTAACTGTGATGATGTGGGTTGTATGGAGTAACTGTGATGATATGGGCTGTATGGAGTAACTGTGATGATATGGGTTATATGGAGTAACTGTGATGATATGGGTTATTTGGAGTAACTGTGATGATATGGGTTATTTGGAGTAACTGTGATGATATGGGTTATATGGAGTAACTATGATGATATGGGTTATATGGAGTAACTGTGATGATATGGGTTATTTGGAGTAACTATGATGATATGGGTTATATGGAGTAACTATGATGATATGGGTTATATGGAGTAACTGTGATGATATGGGGTTGTATGGAGTAACTGTGATGATATGGGTTGTATGGAGTAACTGTGATGATATGGGCTGTATGGAGTAACTGTGATGATGTGGGTTGTATGGAGTAACTGTGATGATATGGGCTGTATGGAGTAACTGTGATGATATGGGTTATATGGAGTAACTGTGATGATATGGGTTATATGGAGTAACTGTGATGATATGGGTTATATGGAGTAACTGTGATGATATGGGTTATATGGAGTAACTGTGATGATATGGGTTATTTGGAGTAACTATGATGATATGGGTTATATGGAGTAACTATGATGATATGGGTTATATGGAGTAACTGTGATGATATGGGTTATATGGAGTAACTGTGATGATATGGGTTGTATGGAGTAACTGTGATGATATGGGCTGTATGGAGTAACTGTGATGATATGGGCTGTATGGAGTAACTGTGATAATGTGGGTTGTATGGAGTAACTGTGATGATATGGGTTGTATGGAGTAACTGTGATGATATGGGTTGTATGGAGTAACTGTGATGATATGGGCTGTATGGAGTAACTGTGATGATGTGGGTTGTATGGAGTAACTATGATGATATGGGTTATATGGAGTAACTGTGATGATATGGGCTGTATGGAGTAACTGTGATGATATGGGCTGTATGGAGTAACTGTGATGATATGGGCTGTATGGAGTAACTGTGATAATGTGGGTTGTATGGAGTAACTGTGATGATATGGGCTGTATGGAGTAACTGTGATGATATGGGTTGTATGGAGTAACTGTGATGATATGGGCTGTATGGAGTAACTGTGATAATGTGGGTTGTATGGAGTAACTGTGATGATATGGGCTGTATGGAGTAACTGTGATGATATGGGTTATATGGAGTAACTGTGATGATATGGGTTATATGGAGTAACTGTGATGATATGGGTTATATGGAGTAACTGTGATGATATGGGCTGTATGGAGTAACTGTGATGATATGGGTTATATGGAGTAACTGTGATGTTATGGGCTGTATGGAGTAACTGTGATGATATGGGTTATATGGAGTAACTATGATGATATGGGTTATATGGAGTAACTGTGATGATATGGGTTATTTGGAGTAACTGTGATGTTATGGGCTGTATGGAGTAACTGTGATGATATGGGTTGTATGGAGTAACTGTGATGATATGGGGTTGTATGGAGTAACTGTGATGTTATGGGCTGTATGGAGTAACTGTGATGTTATGGGCTGTATGGAGTAACTGTGATGATATGGGCTGTACGGAGTAACTGTGATGATATGGGTTATTTGGAGTAACTGTGATGATATGGGTTATATGGAGTAACTATGATGATATGGGTTATATGGAGTAACTGTGATGATATGGGTTATTTGGAGTAACTATGATGATATGGGTTATATGGAGTAACTATGATGATATGGGTTATATGGAGTAACTGTGATGATATGGGTTGTATGGAGTAACTGTGATGATATGGGCTGTATGGAGTAACTGTGATGATATGGGTTATTTGGAGTAACTGTGATGATATGGGTTATTTGGAGTAACTGTGATGATATGGGGTTGTATGGAGTAACTATGATGGTATGGGTTATATGGAGTAACTGTGATGATATGGGGTTGTATGGAGTAACTATGATGGTATGGGTTGTATGGAGTAACTGTGATGATATGGGGTTGTATGGAGTAATTATGATGGTATGGGTTGTATGGAGTAACTGTGATGATATGGGTTATATGGAGTAACTATGATGGTATGGGTTGTATGGAGTAACTGTGATGATATGGGGTTGTATGGAGTAACTATGATGATATGGGCTGTATGGAGTAACTGTGATGATATGGGTTGTATGGAGTAACTGTGATGATATGGGTTATATGGAGTAACTATGATGATATGGGTTATATGGAGTAACTGTGATGATATGGGTTATATGGAGTAACTGTGATGATATGGGTTATATGGAGTAACTGTGATGATATGGGCTGTATGGAGTAACTGTGATGATATGGGTTATATGGAGTAACTGTGATGTTATGGGCTGTATGGAGTAACTGTGATGATATGGGTTATATGGAGTAACTATGATGATATGGGTTATATGGAGTAACTGTGATGATATGGGTTATTTGGAGTAACTGTGATGTTATGGGCTGTATGGAGTAACTGTGATGATATGGGTTGTATGGAGTAACTGTGATGATATGGGCTGTATGGAGTAACTATGATGATATGGGTTGTATGGAGTAACTGTGATGATATGGGTTGTATGGAGTAACTGTGATGATATGGGGTTGTATGGAGTAACTGTGATGTTATGGGCTGTATGGAGTAACTGTGATGATATGGGGTTGTATGGAGTAACTGTGATGTTATGGGCTGTATGGAGTAACTGTGATGATGTGGGCTGTATGGAGTAACTATGATGATATGGGGTTGTATGGAGTAACTGTGATGATATGGGTTATATGGAGTAACTATGATGATATGGGCTGTATGGAGTAACTGTGATGATATGGGTTATATGGAGTAACTGTGATGATGTAGGTTATATGGAGTAACTATGATGATATGGGCTGTATGGAGTAACTGTGATGATATGGGTTGTATGGAGTAACTGTGATGATATGGGTTATATGGAGTAACTGTGATGATATGGGTTATATGGAGTAACTGTGATGATATGGGTTATATGGAGTAACTGTGATGTTATGGGCTGTATGGAGTAACTGTGATGATATGGGCTGTACGGAGTAACTGTGATGATATGGGCTGTACGGAGTAACTGTGATGATATGGGTTATTTGGAGTAACTGTGATGATATGGGTTATATGGAGTAACTATGATGATATGGGTTATATGGAGTAACTGTGATGATATGGGTTATTTGGAGTAACTATGATGATATGGGTTATATGGAGTAACTATGATGATATGGGTTATATGGAGTAACTGTGATGATATGGGTTGTATGGAGTAACTGTGATGATATGGGCTGTATGGAGTAACTGTGATGATATGGGTTATTTGGAGTAACTGTGATGATATGGGTTATTTGGAGTAACTGTGATGATATGGGGTTGTATGGAGTAACTATGATGGTATGGGTTATATGGAGTAACTGTGATGATATGGGGTTGTATGGAGTAACTATGATGGTATGGGTTGTATGGAGTAACTGTGATGATATGGGGTTGTATGGAGTAATTATGATGGTATGGGTTGTATGGAGTAACTGTGATGATATGGGTTATATGGAGTAACTATGATGGTATGGGTTGTATGGAGTAACTGTGATGATATGGGGTTGTATGGAGTAACTATGATGATATGGGCTGTATGGAGTAACTGTGATGATATGGGTTGTATGGAGTAACTGTGATGATATGGGTTATATGGAGTAACTATGATGATATGGGTTGTATGGAGTAACTATGATGATATGGGTTGTATGGAGTAACTATGATGATATGGGTTGTATGGAGTAACTGTGATGTTATTGGCCAGATGGATATTTAGATTCAACAGCCATAGATCTAACTGTCTACAGGTGAATTTTAATAATCTCGAAGACAGCTTTCCGTGTGAAATTGTCTGTAATTCTTGTCTTACGGCCTTGCAAAGTGTCATCATTTTGTTGAAAATGCTCTACACAGGCTGGAACATCGATGAACATGTCGTGCTGTGATTCTATGATCTTCAGATATTGCTCTGGGGGTGATCGTGATGGGGTACGGCCATGTTGCGTTCTGGATGACTGCCGCCGAAAGACAATCACATCGGATTAGACTGGCGTTCCTCAAGAACATCCTCCGCCAAGACATCAGCTGGTATGATGTGAATGAGGTCGGGGAGCTGAACACCAGGTTGTCTGAGTGAGTCTTGTTTTCATCTGGATATTCCAATTGTTGGTAGACATTGATGGAGAAGATGGATGTGGTCATTGATAAAACTTTGCCTGTTTGTTTGTTTGTTTGTTTTATGCCGCACTCAGCAATATTCCAGCTATATGACGGCGGTCTGTAAATAATCAAGTCTGGACCAGACAATCCAGTGATTGACATCATGCATGTTTCTATGCATGAAATGATGACATGCATCAACCAAGTCAGCGAGCCTGACCACCCCATCCCATTAGTGGCCTCTTACGACAAGAATAGTCGCCGTTTATGGCAAGCATTGGTTGCTGAAGACCTATTCTACACCGGATCTTCACGGGTCTTGCTGGTTTGTATGCTAGTTTGTATGCAATGCATTTCTCCATCACCTGTGAATCCATAAGACAGCTTTGAGGTGTCGTAATGAAGTGTGTCTATTTTTTGTCAGATAATGAAATAGTTGTCGTAAACGGAATCAGGTGGTCAGGCTCGATGACTTGGTTGATGCATGTCATCATATCCAAAATTGCATGGATCAATGCTCATGATATCAATCACCGGATTGTCTGGTCCTGAGTCGAATATTTACAGACCGCCATCATATACCTGAAATATTGCTGAGTGCAGTGTTAAACAACAAACAAAATGAAATAGTTCAAGCTATACATGAAAATAGAGATTGGGTAATTGTTAACATTACGCGTGTTTGAACCCCCAAATAATAAGAAACCTCAGAAATTAATTGATAACATCAACGTTCCTGAAGGATGCAAGTCTGTCGTGGCGAGGACCAGGGTACAGGTCTCTCATGTTCCCGAGGCAAGGGAGTTAACTTACCATCGAAGTCCAGTTTGTCGAACTAGGTTGGAATTCCGTGGCTCAATTGTAGCACCACCAATGGCTATTACAAGTTATGTCCCTTTGCTTAAGAACAAATGACGGCGCCTAGTCAAGGCAGTCAGATCGATAATAAAGATCCATAGTATTATAAAACAGGTCTTTCCTCGTGAAATGCATGAAATTACTTGAGCACCTCAATTTAAAAAATGAAAAGATTTGAAAAATATCTGGAGACACCGAGTTGGCGGTACACATGCTTTGCAAATCCTGCAATCGACTGAAATCTGCACGACTTTACGAACAGGATGTTGATTTTGTTCTGCTATTTTGACTCATTTAGTCCAGCCAATACATAACTAGTTCAGCAAGGTGGAAACTGGACTTTCATAGTCATTTAACTCCCTTGCCTCAAGAAGATGAGGTCTCTTGAAAGCTAAGAGCTTGATGATAATCACTGATATTCCTCCTCAACCTATGCTAAATGTCAAAGGCCACCTCATGCATTGCACGCTCGAGTTTGGTGATTTGGTTTATAACATGTCATTGTACCTTGATAGTGAGGAATGTTGCTTGCAATATTAATCACTGGATTGTGTTGACCAGACTTAATTATTTACAGGCGGTCATCAAATCGCTGGGATATTTCGGAGAGAGTCATTTAACAACAAACAAAATCACTGATATTTATCATCATATATGTGGTGTGGTTCGTTTTCTCTTTTCAGTGACATCAACAAGATCCATGATGGCATTGGGGACAAGATGGGTAACTTCCTGCAATGGTTGTCATGCTCCCTCGCCGGGTTCATCATCGGCTTCTACTACGGCTGGAAACTGACGCTGGTGATCCTTGCCATCAGCCCCGCACTGGTCATCTCTGCTACGCTCATGAGTAGGGTGAGTGGACAGACGTTTGTCTAGTTATCATACAGCAAAACAATCATACACTATATATGTGATGAATACCTGTACTTATCTAATACTTATCCTATCTCACACTATGCATTTCTTCTTATTCTTCGATCTAGGTGTGGAAATGTCCTAGAACAAAGTTTCCAGCTTCAAAAAACACCACTCACCCAAACACATCCCTTACATCACCAATCACCACTGTGATCATGGTTCACGCACCACTAAAATCCTGTGCGACACGACCCCAGCGACCTGATCAACTGACATATCTAGCACCGTCATTCTCAATTCTATCGCTATGGTGTTCGGACGTTATTCTTGAACAGAGAATTTTTGTTTGTTTGTTTTGTTTTGTTTTTTGGTGTGTTTTTTTATATATAAAATTTAAATACACCACATCACTACTAAAATATGTGATCAATACCTGTTTTTATGGACTTGAAAAACACAATTTCATCACGAGTCATCACCCTCGGCCAGTATGCTTGCCTTATGCCAAATACACAGTACTGCAATGTTGAACATGGTGTTAAACTCATCACACTCACCCACAGCGATGGAAACTAACAGTATTTAGTCGACAAGTCCTTATGATGATACCTTATAGCGAAAGGACTGCAGGACTTGTTCTACGTTCTAACGTTGATCCATTTATTTTATGGGTGAGCAGGAGGACGCTTTTAACAGTATTCCAGTTATATCACGACGTTTCAGCTTAAAGTGTGAGGAAAGCCCCAAGTGATGCAGGTGTTAGACCTTTACCATTTCGGTTAAACCCACGAGCAAGGGTATGGTGCTGACAAACCTAGAAACATGATCGGGGCGAACCGGGATTCGAACCACAATCATAGGTTTCTGGCGTGCCCAGGGGACGCAACTCTGCACAGCCAATTGCGGCACCTTAGTCGACTGGGCCACCCGTGCCCCCCACTTGTGCAAATAAATATGTGTCATACCAACAGAGACATCATTGTATATGTGCAATAATCCTAAACGCTACGTAAACCCCATTGCACTTTCTGGTTTTGTATTGCAGCTGATGGCATCCATGACCAGTAAGGAGTTAGCAGCGTATGCAAAGGCAGGAGCCGTAGCAGAGGAGGTCCTTGGCGCTGTCAGAACCGTTGTAGCATTCGGTGGCCAGGAGAAGGAATGTAACCGGTAAGTCAGTCAGTGGTCAATCGGTCAATCAAAGCCTGTCTGCAGTTGTAAGTTGATGCAAGTATGATGGTTTGAGGGACCATTACATGAATTACTGACCCGTGAAGATCTGGGTAGAGAATAGGTCTTGAGCAACCCATGATTGTGTAAAAGGCGACTATGCTTGTTGTGGGTGGTCAGACTCGCTGACTTGGTTGAAGCCTCCCATCGATCCCAATTGCGTGGATCGATGCTCATGATATCAATCAATGAATTGACTGGTCTATACTCGATTTATTACAAACTGCTGTCATGCAGCTGGAAAATTGCTGAGTGAGGCGTAAAACAACAAACCAACCAACCAACTGTTACGTCCGACTAGCGTATCATGATTGTGTCACCAGTTTTTATGTGACGTCCACTCAGTATGATACCAGACTCATGTTTGGCAAAGACACAATGTTTGGCAAAGACAGTGTTAAGGAAAGACACAATGTTTGGCAAAGGCAATGTTTAGCAAAGATGCAATGTTTAGCAAAGACACAATGTCTGGCCAAGACTCAATTTTTAGCAAAGACAATGTTTAGGAAAGACACAATGTCTGGCAAAGACACAGTGTTTGTTTAAGAAAGACACAATGTTTGTTTAGGAAAGACACAATGTTTGGCAAATACAATGTTTGGCAAAGACACAATGTTTGGCAAATACAATGTTTGGCAAAGACACAATGTTTGACAAAGACAATGTTAACCAAAGACACAATGTCTGGCAAAGACAAAATGTTCAGCAAAGACACAATGCTTAGCAAAGACACAATGTCTGGCAAAGACTCAATTTTTAGCAAAGACAATGTTTAGGAAAGACACAATGTCTGGCAAAGACACAGTGTTTGTTTAGGAAAGACACAATGTTTGACAAATACAATGTTTGGCAAAGACACAATGTTTGGCAAAGACACAATGTTTGACAAAGACAATGTTTACCAAAGACACAATGTCTGGCAAAGACAAAATGTTTAGCAAAGACAATGTTTGGCAAAGACACAATGTTTGACAAAGACAATGTTTGGCAAAGACACAATGTCTGACAAAGACAATATTTTTTAACTTATCCTGCATTACTCCGTATTGCATTTACTGCTATGTTTGACAGAGAGACGAACTGTGTGAGATCCAGCTGCTGAAGAAAGTTGTCCCAACCAGCCCAGGAGGCAGCGCCCTCTCACAGTCGGCACGTGACCCGGAAGTCATGACGTCACACCAAAAGACATAACTGCTTTGTCACCTCCACGGACGGACGTACTTTGTATCCCTTGTGGAAATTAAAGCTTATTATTTGTTTTTTATATTTTGCGTGTTTCTACATTCATTATATGCTGCTACATTGTTACCTGTTATGGGCCGTGACCTTAGGGTCTTCCCATTCGTAAATTGTAACGTTTATCGCTCGTCTGTGGCTCACGTCACAGTAATTTACGGGCGCAATGTTGTTCCCGCCATTTTGTTTTCTTTCCCGCCATTTTGGCCATTCACCACGTGGCCACGTAATGTCGTGTTCTGCGTTTTGAATTCTCTCTTTGGCTTGGGTAATACATTACATTTATGTATGTTGTTTTGGTGTGCTTAAAGCCTTGCCTTTTCGCTACCTCTCAGCGTAATTGTTTCTTCTCATAAACTTCAATATAATACGAAGTTTATGAGTTACATTATGTCTCCCGTACTCTGTGGTTTTGCCACATGGTTACGTGTTTGCTTAAGGCTTTGCCTTTTCGCTCCCTTTTAGCGTACTTGTTTATCTCATAAACTTTAATAAAATATACTGTTTTTGAGTTACTTTATGCTTCCCATACTTTGTGATTGGCCACACATTATGCTTCCCGCACTTTGTGGCTTTGCCACATAGTTATGTTTTGCTTAAATTCCAGATTTTCTGCCTCGCTGCACTTGTTTCCGCGGGAACAAATCTGGTCGGGGCCGCCCCTTTCTGCCGTGATTGTACGACGCCCTGTACTTTCACAAGGCAGTGCCGATGTTGCAGTCATTCGTCGCTGTGGTCCTTCAGCTCATGCGAGTATCCAGGACACACCTCGCTCAACGTGCTCGTCGACCCCCACCTACGTTGACGGCAGCAGCGCTCAGCGGAGCTTCACGGCGGCTCCCAACGTAGAGTCTGCCTCCCATGGCACGACATACGACCGTTCACGGTCTCCTACTCCACCGGCGGCTCCAGCGCTCCCAACGTAGAGTCTGCCTCCCCTGGCACGACATACGAACGTTCACGGTCTCCAACACCATCAACGCTGATGTCTCCAGCGCCTCCGATGACTCGGCGCCTCTGATGACACGGCTCCTCCGGCGCTCCCGGCGCTCCCGGCTTGCCAACTTGCCTCTGATGACGCGGCGCCTCCGGCGCCTCTGATGACGCGGCGCCTCCGATGTCTCGGCGCTCCCGGCGCCTCTGATGACTCAGCGCCTCCGGCTCTTCCGATGACTCGGCGCCGCTGATGTCTCGGCGCTCAACAAGCTTCATGACTTGTTCATGACAAGCTGATGACTCGGCGCCTCCGATGACACGGCGCTCCCGGCGCCTCTGATGACGCGGCGCCTCTGATGACTCGGCGCCTCCGATGTCTTGGCGCTCCCGGCGCCTCTGATGACTCGGCGCCTCTGATGACTCGGTGCTCAACAAGCTTCATGACTTGTTCATGACAAGCTGATGACTCGGCGCCACCGGCGCCTCTGATGACTCGGCGCCGCTTATGTCTCGGCGCCTCTGATGTCTCCGCGCTCCGGCGCCTCCGCATCCTCTGATGTCTTCGGCGCTCAACAAGCTTCAGATCAACAAGCTTTATCAAGCTCAGATCAACGAGCCGATCATCCGATCTTCTACTGCGGCTTAAGGGGCACCATCGGCAATCGCCTCCCCGGCGCCACTGCCCTCTTCTCTTGCTGCCGTCTCATAACTCGTCACACGGAGAAGCATGGTGAAACAACTGTCGCCGCTCCTTTCGCTACTCTCCCGTCGGTCTTCGGGATCGTGACTATCGTTCTACTTCCTGGGTGGAATCATTTCAACCAATAGACAGTTGGTCTGATTCAACTTGCCCACTGAGACGTTATCCATAATCCCGTCGTTTAAAGCGCTATGATTCCGGAGAGATGACCTGCGGGTTTCCATCGAAACAGAGCGTCATGTGAACAGCGTCTGTATCAGATTCGACGACGACATCCACTTACAAAGAGTTTACTTCGTCGACATCGCAGACATCAACGCTGTTCTACCCTACCCTAGCGCCAGCGTTCCTGAGAGAGACTCTTCCTCGGCGCTCCCCGGGTTTTCCACGACGCCCATGGGGTTCCGTGTTTTATCGCAAAACTCGGGTACACCACTTGATCGTCTCTCACACAGTTCATTGAGGATTGTCTGTGTGTGGAGTTTGCACCTCAGTTCCGACTCCAAGGCGGTTTTCTCGGCTACTGCGCAGAGTGATTTACATGTCACGTGTCAAGTACTCGGACTGTCAACAACTCCGACCGGATTTAGGTCAACTTACCATGGCAAGGGGTGCCATGTATTTCTACAGATTGGTTTCCATGTCTACCTGTACGCTTGGTGATACCACTCAACCAGGCGCCTGTCGCAGTCCATCCATGCACGGATGTTGGAAACAATAGACCTCCTCTACCAACACGGCTGTCACGAGGAACCTTGTTTCATCAACCCTTCGCTATAAGAACGATAGCGCGTTCAAGGGATGGAAAAGATCGCCTTCCTTCGTCCGGTTTGATCTTTTCGACTACGACACCTTCCTATCTTCCCCCTTGACTACCGGACACAGTGTCGATTTGATACTTAAAGTCCCTCGGCCGTCCCACTGACCCCTGTTGCATACCTGCCTCGTATCGTGTTGTCGTCCTCCATCGTCACCTCGATATAAGAACAGGAGTACTTATACGCCGCTTCAGGGATGAAAACGATCTCATTACTTCGTGCAATGGCCATATTGCCTCGACTTCCTACTACCCGGTTACGTCGATGCCCCGGCGGTCGATTGTGAAGCTGGTTTACTTCGTCTACTTGAGGTTGGCTCGCAGGCGATCACACCTTTTTCCGAATCGTACCGACGGTACGCAATCGCAGACCCCTGTTGCTGACTACCTCCCCTGCCACCTTGTCAGTGGCTAGTGGCCCACGCCAGCCCACATTGTGACCACCTGTGATCCAGAGATCAACACCATTGGCACAGCAACAGCCTCGAGATAAATGCTTATCCAGGACGGCACTTGCTGACAGTGCATTCTCGGTCACGCCCTGTTGATCGTGTCCACTGACGACGTCACCGTAGTGTGGTGTTTGCAGACCCAGAGTTCTCGCCCCTCTCCCGGCGCCACAAACTCGACCGGCGCCCCCGAGAATCACCATCTTCGGCGTTCCAGGCGCCTCAAGCTCTCCGACGCCTCACCCTCTCCGGCGCCTCGGGCCAGACTATGTGAAACGGTCGACACCCCAACCCTAGATCTGTTTGCCTCATATCTGAATGTGGCCAGCTGTCGTCTTCCATTCCACCTGTGCCGAGAGCCGCTGTGGCAGTCGAAGCCTTCCATCGTTCCTGAGAAGGATTACGCGCGTACGCTTTTCCGACTCCGGTTCTCCCTCCCACGGTTCTTCAGAGATCCAGGCCACTCGACCCCTGCCATTGACTTTGGTCTCGCCTTATTGGTCAGCCAGAAGTTGGGTTATCGACCTCCGAAACATAGCCAGAGACAACCCCTGGAACTTCCGGTGTGGTCCAACCTTCTGCTCCATCCACACGGTCTGTTGCCACACCCTCATACCCGCATGTTATCGTCTGCACGCCTGACACACATGCAGAAAGCCAAGGGCTATTCAGCTAGAGCGACCAAGGCTATTGCTTCAGCCCACCGTCCATCTACAGGGGGACTGTATGCTGATAAATGATGCTTGTTCCAGGCATTTTGTTCTGACAAACACCAGGATCCGATGACAGCGTCACCGCAGATCCTGGATCAGTTCCTTCTGTACTTGTGTAGCACCCATCGGTTGAAGGGCTTACCACCCCCACATACCTGGTCGCCATGTACTCCGTTCTGGCCATCCCGGACGATCGGAGAAAGACGAAAATTCCCGACCTACGGGCCTGGCTGCGCTCGTTCAGTCTTGAAGACCTGAAGACCAAGTTCGGACCGCCTGCGTTGGATCTGAATGTGGTCTTCAATGCCCTTCGAACCACTCCCCTCGTCTTCCTTCTTCGACCTTAAGTAGAAGACGGGTGTTTCTACTGGTTTTGACTACTGCCGCTCGAGTCCATGTACAGCACGCCCTCGACGTCTCCCATGCCCGGTTCGAATGCGGTACCCAGGGCGCCGTTCATCATGGACCGTACTTGGACGTCAGCGTAAAGACTCAACTCCCAGGACAGCCTGATAGATCATTCCTTGTCCCCTCCCCCCTCGTCCAGTGTGGGTGCCGAGGATGAGGATGAGCGTCATTATGCCCAGTAAGGGCACTGAAGGTTATTCTACGATCTAAAGACTGCCGCAAGTCTAGGAAACACCTTTTTCTGCCGGTCTCCCCTTCGTCGCTGTCGTTGGTCAGCCGGAATACTTTTCCCTGTGGCTCCGGGCGGTCATCCTTAAAGCGTATGAGCCGCCGGATTGGACCCTCCCCCCAAAGGCTATTACCTGAAATAAAATCAGATCAGGGCGATCGTATTTACACTGGTTCTTCACGGTATACTGTTCCATCCCGTCGTTCAGGGAAGCCTGTTCGTGGCGATCGGACACCGCCTTCACCAACCACTACTTCCGTGATGTAGCCTTGAAAGTTGTCGCCGGCGTTCACAGTTTTGGTCCCTGGTTGTAGCCCAACAGGTCATCTATCTCCGACGCCACTGATTCTCCGATACCCTGAGCGGGGCCCGTCGACCTTTCTGGTGTTTATCACCCCAGACGAGACGGCTCTCTTGCGTTCCGCATTCGCTCTTAGGTCAGTTTTAGTTTTGGGTTACCCGACTCATTCTATTGCTGTCACCTATCCGGGTTTTACTTTTTGCATCAACTCTCGTTTCCTGACGACAGGAATGGTAGTAGATGTGGACACCGGCGCCGACGCCAACGCCGCTGCTTCTCTGGTACCTGAGCGGTGCCCGTCGACCTCATCGGTGTTGCCTCCAGCCTAGAGGGCTCTCCTGCGTTTCGCATTCGCTCTTGGGATTGGTCGTAGATTTTGCCGCCGACGCCGCTGATTCTTCGATTCCCCGAGCGGGGCCCGTCGAACTCTCTGGTGTTTATCACCTCAGATTAGCTCTAGGTTCTACTGCGTTTCGCTTTCGCTCTTCGGTAAGTTATATATTTTGGCTACACGCCTCATTGTATTTCGGTTACCTATTCGGGCGTTTCGTTTTTGCATCGACTCTTGTTTCCTGAAGACAGGAATGGTCGTAGATGTTCCGGTCATCACTTGTATGCGGTGCGGATTCATCGGACCTTGACGAGGGTTTAATATGGTTCACATCTGCAAGTATGCCCACCGGCCAAGCCGTCTGATAAAGATGCAATATGGAGTAATGCAGGATAAGTTAAAAAATTTAGTAAAATCTAAATATTTTTTACATTTGTATACTTATCCTGCATTACGAAGTCTAAGTTCCCTCCCTTTCGCTACGCTACCTCCCCACGAAGTTTCAGATGTTATGTTTAAAGCAGTTATGTCTTTTGGTGTGACGTCATGACTTCCGGGTCACGTGCCGACTGTGAGAGGGCGCTGCCTCCTGGGCTGGTTGGGACAACTTTCTTCAGCAGCTGGATCTCACACAGTTCGTCTCTCTGTCAAACATAGCAGTAAATGCAATACGGAGTAATGCAGGATAAGTATACAAATGTAAAAAATATTTAGATTTTACTAAGTTTGGCAAAGACACAATGTTTGACAAAGACAATGTTTGACAAAGACACAATGTCTGGCAAAGACACAATGTTTACCAAAGACACAATGTTTACCAAAGACACAATGTTTACCAAGACACAATGTCTGTCAAAGACACAATGTTTACCAAGACACAATGTTTAGGCAAGACACAATGTCTGTCAAAGACACAATGTTTAGGAAAGACACAATGTCTGTCAAAGACACAATGTTTACCAAGACACAATGTTTAGGCAAGACACAATGTTCAGGAAAGACACATTGTCTGGCAAAGACACAATGTTTAACAAGACACAATGTTTACCAAGACACAATGTTTGGCAAAGACAATTTTTCGCAAAGACACAATGTCTGGTAGATTAGCCTAACATTATAGTGATATGATACTGCTTTCTTCAGATATTGCTCTAACCTTCATGAGGCCAAAGCATTTGGGGTTCGGAAGGGCTACACCAACGGGCTGTCCCTGGGTTTGGTGTGGCTGGTGATGTTCTCGGCTTACGCTCTTGGATTCTGGTACGGCACCAAGCTGGTGAGGGACGAGCCAGAGAACTACCAGGCCGGAAAAATGATCATTGTAAGTTCTACAAGACACGGGTACATGATCATTGTAAGTTCTTCAAGACACGGGTACATGATCATTGTAAGTTCTTCAAGACACGGGTACATGATCATTGTAAGTTCTTCAAGACACGGGTACATGATCATTGTAAGTTCTTCAAGACACGGGTACATGATCATTGTAAGTTCTACAAGACACGGGTACATGATCATTGTAAGTTCTACAAGACACGGGTATATGATTATTGTAAGTTCTTCAAGACAAGGGTATATGATCATTGTAAGTTCTACAAGACATGGGTACATGATCATTGTAAGTTCTTCAAGACACGGGTACATGATCATTGTAAGTTCTTCAAGACACGGGTACATGATCATTGTAAGTTCTACAAGACAAGGGTATATGATCATTGTAAGTTCTACAAGACAAGGGTATATGATCATTGTAAGTTCTTCAAGACAAGGGTATATGATCATTGTAAGTTCTACAAGACATGGGTACATGATCATTGTAAGTTCTTCAAGACACGGGTACATGATCATTGTAAGTTCTTCAAGACAAGGGTATATGATCATTGTAAGTTCTTCAAGACACGGGTACATGATCATTGTAAGTTCTTCAAGACACGGGTACATGATCATTGTAAGTTCTTCAAGACACGGGTACATGATCATTGTAAGTTCTTCAAGACACGGGTACATGATCATTGTAAGTTCTACAAGACATGGGTACATGATCATTGTAAGTTCTTCAAGACACGGGTATATGATCATTGTAAGTTCTACAAGACAAGGGTACATGATCATTGTAAGTTCTTCAAGACACGGGTACATGATCATTGTAAGTTCTTCAAGACACGGGTATATGATCATTGTAAGTTCTACAAGACAAGGGTACATGATCATTGTAAGTTCTACAAGACAAGGGTACATTATGATTGTAAATTCAAGACAAGGTTACATCATCATTGTAAGTTCTTCAAGACAAGGGTCGTGAGGGTGCCGAATATAGTATGACCAAAGACCAGGTTTGTTTCTTAACATGGCTACACGACCTTTTAAATACATGTACTTCGAAACTTGGCGCCATGAGGCATTTCTAAGACCAGGCATGTTACACATTGGGAGTTGAGGTAAACTTACTTTCTCAAGATCAATATCAGATACCAATCAGGAACAAGACAAATTTTGAAGTGAAATTTGCAACTCGACAACACAACAGCCTTGGAACAATATTGATGTCATAGATGTCTCCTGAGATGCATCAATGTGTACTTACAGGTGTTCTTCTCCGTGTTGATTGGGGCGTTCTCCCTGGGAAATGCAGCTCCAAGTCTTCAAGCTCTAGCCACAGCACGAGGAGCAGCATACACGATCTTCAAGCTCATAGATCTGGTAGGCATAAGGCTTAAAAAAATAAAGGAATTGGTTCTCAGGCAATACCTTTTGAAAACATAGTGTGGGCAGGTTTTTTTTGTTGCTTGTTCAAACTACAGTTTGGCCCTCTCTCTAATGAAGGTTCATACTCCAGTGAACTCCTACAAATTGAAAGTCAGTTCCTAGTGACTATTGCTGACTACGACATTAAGGAACAATTACTTACGTCCCCCTGTTGTGTGTTGTAGCAACCGATGATAGACAGTCAGTGAAAGTCAGTTCTTAGTGACTATTGTTGACTGCGACATTAAGGAACAATTACTTACTTCCCCCTGTTGTGTGTTGTAGCAACCGATGATAGACAGTCAGTGAAAGTCAGTTCTTAGTGACTATTGCTGACTGCGACATTAAGGAACAATTACTTACGTCCCCCTATTGTGTGTTGTAGCAACCGATGATAGACAGCAGCTCCCCTGCAGGGAAGAAGCCACAGTCTCTGAGTGGAACAATACAATTCAACAACGTTCACTTCAGCTACCCCTCCCGTCCAGATGTCAAGGTGCGTAGTACTCAGGTTATGTTGCGCTGCATTTCTGGGAACAAATGCGTCCCCTATTCTGGAATAAGTCATTGACCTGAAGCTCCTCACAACAACAGCCCATTCGTGGAGCTCTTACACTATCATGCCTCCAGTCACAGCTCCCCGCTGTGCTAGGCGGCCTACAACCATGCATGGAGTTGACCTCTCTACCAACTGTTGTCATGACTTTTACGGTGCTGAATACTCTTCCCCCGGCTCAACTGGGTTTTTATTACATTTCAGCTTTCATGTAATTAGTTAGTGAGAATGTAATACAGTGAGAAATGCTTTTCCATTCATCTGCAATCTCGAACCACTGATCAAACACACTCAAATTCATCTGGGAAATAGTAAGTTGTAAACTTTTTCCCATTTCACTACACTGTCTTTGAGGTAATAAAAATTTGACATAGGGGGCACTTATTAGAATATTATTTTAGTGAAAAAACAGTTGAAAGATAAATTTTACTGTTTATGCAGACAGCCTGAAATGTTTATGTACGACAGATATATTTTTCCAGAATTTAATTGCCCATAATTAGGGTGCATAATAAGGGTGCATATAACACATGAGAGAGTATTATACACGAATCAATAATTCTTGTTTACATTGATCATTCAGGAAGGGTGCTAACTGGTATTGTTCACTAGCCATATATTATCAAATATCGCCGTGGGCGCTTATTAGTGCGGGGCACTTATTACATCGAATACGGTTATCATGATAGGGACGTTCCGAAAGACACACCCGAACATATAAATGTCTCTACATTTGGGGTTAAAATATTGCTGAGTGCGTGTTAAACAACAAACAAACATTTGGGGTTACAGGGAAACTTTTCAAGATTACTGTAATGACAATGCATACCACACACTATTTCAGGTGCTGAATGGCTTGAACCTGGAGGTTCGTCAAGGTCAGACGGTGGCTCTGGTGGGAGCTAGTGGTTGTGGTAAGAGCACCACTGTGCAGCTCATCCAGAGATTCTACGACCCATCCAGCGGATCTGTGAGTAAACAGTTTTGCCGCGGGGTATGGGGTGACTGAGTCATTTGAAGTACGACAATTCACAAGTTTCGTGACCAAATAATAATCTAAGGCCCGACAATTCACAAGTTTCTTGACCGAATAAACTAAGGCACGACAATTCACAGGTTTCGTGACCGAATAAACTAAGGCACGACAATTCACAGGTTTCGTGACCTAATAATCTAAGGCCCGACAATTCACAAGTTTCGGGACCGAATAATCTAAGGCCCGACAATTCTCAAGTTTCGTGACCGAATACTCTAAGGCCCGACAATTCACAAGTTTCGTGACCGAATAATCTAAGGCCCGACAATTCTCAAGTTTCGTGACCGAATAATCTAAGGCCCGACAATTCACAAGTTTCGTGACCTAATAATCTAAGGCCCGACAATTCACAAGTTTCGTGACCGAATACTCTAAGGCCCGACAATTCACAAGTTTCGTGACCGAATAATCTAAGGCCCGACAATTCACAAGTTTTGTGACCGAATAATCTAAGGCCCGACAATTCACAAGTTTCGTGACCGAATAATCTAAGGCACGACAATTCACAAGTTTCGTGACCGAATAATCTAAGGCACGGCAATTCACAAGTTTCGTCAATTTGATTAAAAAATATTGTTTACTATTCTCATTTTCATGAGAGATTAATTTCCTGCTCACAATAATTTCATGATTTACAGTACATTGCATTCCTGCTGAAACATGACTGGAAAGACAAGGCACCGGATACAACATTATATTTAAGCTTCAGACAAACTGAAAAAAGGGGGATCCCATTTTGCAATGTGATCGTAGCACTACAACTATCGTACTCCTATACTTTAACATAGACTTACGATAGTTGTAGCGCTACAATCACTTTGTGAAACGGGTCCCAGGTCAAGTAAGGATATTTCTGTAAAGAGAAAAATATATATTAAGGATATCTAGATAATACATTTCCATGATACCACTAACTTCGTTTGAACTTTCAGGTAATGCTTGATGGCATCGACATTAAAGATCTCAATATTTGTTGGCTGCGTGAACACATTGGCATCGTCAGTCAGGAACCTATCTTGTTTGGCACCTCCATCTCTGAAAACATCCGCTATGGCCGGGAGGGCGTCTCGCAGAGTGAAATAGAGGCTGCTGCCAAAAACGCCAATGCTCACGACTTTATCATGGGCCTCCCTGAGGTAAGCTGACTCACGACTTTATCATAGGCCTCCCCGAGGTAAGGTGACTCACACCTTTATAATGGGCCTCCCCGAGGTAAGGTGACTCACGTCTTTATCATGGGCTCCTGAGGCAAGCTGACTCACAATTTTATCATGGGCCTCCCCGAGGTAAGGTGACTCATGACTTTATCATAGGCCTCCCCGAGGTAAGGTGACTCATGACTTTATCATGGGCCTCCCCGAGGTAAGCTGACTCATGACTTTATCATGGGCCTCCCCAAGGTAAGGTGACTCACGACTTTATCATGGGCTCCTGAGGCAAGCGGACTCACGACTTTATCATGGGCCTCCCCGAGGTAAGCTGACTCACAATTTTATCATGGGCCTCCCCGAGGTAAGCTGACTCACGGCTTTATCATGGGCCTCCCCGAGGTAAGGTGACTCACGTCTTTATCATGGGCTCCTGAGGCAAGCTGACTCACAATTTTATCATGGGCCTCCCCGAGGTAAGGTGACTCATGACTTTATCATAGGCCTCCCCGAGGTAAGGTGACTCATGACTTTATCATGGGCCTCCCCGAGGTAAGCTGACTCATGACTTTATCATGGGCCTCCCCGAGGTAAGGTGACTCACGACTTTATCATGGGCTCCTGAGGCAAGCGGACTCACGACTTTATCATGGGCCTCCCCGAGGTAAGCTGACTCACAATTTTATCATGGGCCTCCCCGAGGTAAGCTGACTCACGGCTTTATCATGGGCCTCCCCGAGGTAAGCTGACTCAGGACTTTATCATGGGCCTCCCCGAGGTAAGCTGACTCAGGACTTTATCATGGGCCTCCCCGAGGTAAGGTGACTCACGACTTTATCATGGGCCTCCCCGAGGTAAGCTGACTCACTTCTTTATCATGGGCCTCCCCGAGGTAAGCTGACTCACGACTTTATCATGGGACTCCCCGAGGTAAGCTGACTCACTTCTTTATCATGGGACTCCCCGAGGCAAGCTGACTCATGACTTTATCATGGGCCTCCCCGAGGTAAGGTGACTCATGACTTTATCATGGGCCTCCCCGAGGTAAGCTGACTCATGACTTTATCATGGGCCTCCCCGAGGTAAGCTGACTCAGGACTTTATCATGGGCCTCCCCGAGGTAAGCTGACTCAGGACTTTATCATGGGCCTCCCCGAGGTAAGGTGACTCACGACTTTATCATGGGCCTCCCCGAGGTAAGCTGACTCACTTCTTTATCATGGGCCTCCCCGAGGTAAGGTGACTCACGACTTTATCATGGGCCACCCAATATATCGTAATATGTATCGTAATACAGATAACTGTATCACAATATATTGCAATAAATAAATTTGGCCAATGCACAGCCCTAGGTTTACTTTTTCAAAAGAATGTATATAGTGGTGGAACTATACTTGAATTTTTGTGTTCAATGTATCTTGACTGTCCCTTTTTGATATTCAGCAATACTGGTGCCGTGAGTTGCAGTGCTTGTCTTCAGTTGATATCTCCCATGTCATTAGCTGTCTGCCTCCTGTATTCAGACAGGAATTCTTGGTTGCTATTATTCCGTCCCCAGGACACTGCAGCCAATATTTCCAAGAAAGCCGATCCAGTATTTCAGTGCCACATATTGTGTAAATATGACCCTGTATTTGTTTTCAGAGGTACGACACTATGGTTGGTGATCGAGGCGCCCAGTTGAGTGGAGGTCAGAAACAGAGAGTCGCTATCGCCCGAGCTCTGGTGCGAGACCCCCGCATCCTACTGTTGGATGAAGCCACGTCAGCTCTAGACACTGAGAGTGAATCTATTGTGCAGGATGCCCTAGATCATGTGAGTATTTGTGTATATTTCAGATATATTACACTCCAGTGGAGGTGAGGTGAAATGGGGTTTAAAGTCGCGTCCATGATTATTGCACTTATATTGATTGGTTGGTTGGTTGGTTGGTTGGTTGGTTGGTTGTTTAACGCCTCACTCAACAATATTCCAGGTATATGACGGTGATCTGTAAATAATCAAGTCTGGACCAGACAGTCCAGTGATTGATATCATGAGCATCGATCCACGCAATTGCGACGTGCATGCACGTGTGTGTGTGTGGCTGCTTGCACAATACGTACTAATGCCAGTTATAGTGCTTGTCCACGGAGATACCATGCCGCAGTTTAACATGAATACCCCACTCAGATATACTGACTCTGAACTGACCAGTCTTTATTTTAACCCTTTAATGCCAAACGTCAGACAGGGTAACAACAAATACCATCTTTGACTGTCCTTTTGTATGACCTGGCCATGGACCCTGGAACTTCTGCTCTCCGAGTGGACACTCTATGACTAAACCACGGAGGCAGTCTAATCCCTAGAACTGTGGGGACCTCCGAGTGGACACTCTATGACTAAACCACGGAGGCAGTCTAATCCCTGGAACTGTGGGGACCTCCGAGTGGACACTCTATCACTAAACCACGGAGGCAGTCTAGTCCCCGGAACTGAGGGGACCTCCGAGTGGACACTCTATCACTAAACCACGGAAGCAGTCTAGTCCCCTGAACTGAGGGGACCTCCGAGTGGACACTCTGTGACTAAACCACGGAGGCAGTCTAATCCCTGGAACTGTGGGGACCTCCGAGTGGACACTCTATCACTAAACCACGGAGGCAGTCTAGTCCCCGGAACTGAGGGGACCTCCGAGTGGACACTCTATCACTAAACCACGGAAGCAGTCTAGTCCCCGGAACTGAGGGGACCTCCGAGTGGACGCTCTATGACTAAACCACGGAGGCAGTCTTATCCCCGGAACTGTGGAGACCTCCTAGTGGACACTCTATGACTAAACCACGGAGGCAGTCTAGTCCCCGGAACTGTGGAGACCTCCGAGTGGACACTCTATGACTAAACCACGGAGGCAGTCTAGTCCCCAGAAATGAGGGGACCTCCGAGTGGACACTCTATCACTAAACCACGGAGGCAGTCTAATCCCCGGAACTGTGGAGACCTCCGAGTGGACACTCTATGACTAAACCACGGAGGCAGTCTAGTCCCCGGAACTGAGGGGACCTCCGAGTGGACACTCTGTGACTAAACCACGGAGGCAGTCTAATCCCCGGAACTGTGGGGACCTCCGAGTGGACACTCTATGACTAAACCACGGAGGCAGTCTAGTCCCCGGAACTGAGGGGACCTCCGAGTGGACACTCTATGACTAAACCACAGAGGCAGTCTAGTCCCCGGAACTGTGGGGACCTCCGAGTGGACACTCTGTGACTAAACCACGGAGGCAGTCTAGTCCCCGTAACTGTGGGGACCTCCGAGTGGACACTCTATGACTAAACCACGGAGGCAGTCTAGTCCCCGGAACTGAGGGGACCTCCGAGTGGACGCTCTATCACTAAACCACGGAGGCAGTCTAGTCCCCGGAACTGAGGGGACTCATGGTTAAGATTTAAGGGCAACTCCATAGAAGATTGCTAGTTATCAGTAAGACACCTCCATAGGATTTATTTAGAAGTCATCTTCACGACATGTTGGATAACAATCAGTCAGTGTCTGAGAAACTCAAGCTGAACATTGCACGAACATCAGTACTAAACAAGCCATTTGTGTTGAACATTGTCAGAAAAAACTTAATATTTTACTACTTTTTTATCGACCTACACCTGTTTGGCCCATGTAATCAGAAAAACAGAAATATTTTAGTGTTTGTTCTTAGACTGTTTTCTACTTGTGTTGCGGGCGGTCGGGTAGCCTGGAGGTTAAGGCGTTTGCTCGTCACGCCGAAGATTGGGGTTCAATTCCCTACATAGGTACAATGTGTGAAGCCCATTTCTGGTGTCCCCCGCTGTGATATTACTGGAATATTGCTAAAAGCGGCATAAAACCAAGCTCACTCACTCACTCTACTTGTGTTGCAGGCTCGAGAAGGAAGGACGACCATTGTTATTGCTCACCGTCTCTCGACGATCAGGACAGCAGACATTATCGCTGGGTTCAATGAGGGTGTGATTACCGAACAGGGCACTCACGACGACCTGATGGCCAAGCAGGGCATCTATTATCAGCTTGTTACGAACCAGGTGAGCTTCAAGATCAACTTGTTATTAATATGTCTGGCAATATGCCTGTCACTCTGCTCAATATTCCAGAGTTCACTCCCTTTGTCAAGCAGGATTCTGATGTTTGTCAGTTTGAATGCCAGGTTTGCCCTGAATATGATACTGGGTTTGTCAACACCATAACAGTGTTGGGTTTCACGACCTAATGACAAGTATTTGCACAACAGTAATTTGAGCTTATACACTGATAGAACTGAAATACTGTTCAAAGTGTGCTGTCCCTAACACTCTCACTCACGCTACATCTGGAACTTATCACTCATCAGATATGATTATTAATTACTTGACCGGAAGTAATAAAGTCAATTTGAAACCCCGGAAAAGTCCGCACTAACTCACTTCCTCTAACCCCTTTGTAAGATTGGGGCGGTCGGGTAGCCTAGTGGTTAAAGCGTTCGCTCGTCACGCCGAAGACCCGGTTCGATTCCCGACATGGGTACAATGTGTGAAGCCCATTTCTGGTGTCCCCCACCGTGATATTGCTGGAATATTGCTAAAAGCGGCGTAAAACCACACTCACTCACTCACTCACTCTGTAAGATGGTGCTAGTAGAGCAATACCTCACTTTCCTAACTTCTCGAACTCTGTATATCTCAACACTCCTACCCAGCTGCTAATGTGTAACTGTCATTGTATTTTCAGACCAAAGACGATGTAAGCATTCTGTTTCCATGTTTCCATGGTTTTGTTATGTTTGTAACCCGTGAAGAATGGTATAGAACACAATTAGAGATTCAATGGATTGGTTGTATTACATAATCTGCATAATGGTAGATATCTCATAGGTAAAGGTCCTGCTTGTTGTTATATATATTATATTATATTATATTAGTTTATATAAGTTTATATAAGTTTATATTATATTATATTATATTATATTATATTATATTATATTATATTATATTATATTATATTATATTATATGTTGTTATATGTTATATTAAGAAACCTTGTTATTGAATGAAAAGCTCTGACTATTGAAAAAGTACCATTACTTATTCACATTCTTGGAAGGTATTTAGAGGGAATCGTTTGGTTTAGTCAAAACGTGGAAAACGGTACACCTACATATATTGTACATCAAGCTGACAGACGTTGATATAACTGCAATGCTGTTCACAGCTGTGGAAATCCAACTCACTATGGGTAATGTTAGTTGTAGTTACAAACTTTAGGATTTACCTTTTTTTGGTATAATGAGGTAGATGACTTTTTTGTGTGATTTATTTTTGCCCATATTTAGAATGGTGGCTGATCTAAAGGAGTTTTGTCTTTTTTTATTTGGTCTGGATATGGTTCCATGTTTGTCAGCACCATACCCGTGCTCGTGGCTCTCACCAAAGTGGTAAACGTCTGAGACCTGCATCGCTTCGGGCTTTCCTCCCACATGAAGCTGACACGCCGTGATATAACTGGAATACTGTTCCCAGCGACGTTAAGCAGGAAACATTGGTCCTCAGCACTGCAATGTAGGAAATATTACCAGAAGGAATTTGCCCCTTTTTTTTGTTGAAGGTTTTGTTTTTGAAAGTTTTTCCTGCATGTAATCCAGTAGCAGAACAAGAGGATGGGGAAATATCACACTTGAATCTCAATGTCTTAATCAAAGACATGAAATAGTAATTTGGTATTATTAAAAAACAGACACATTTATCAATATACAGGTTTTATTGTTTGTGGGTATCAGTTACCATCAATGTTTGCAGTGTCCATTAGACATTTGTTTCATGCTAGATACAATCTGTAGCTTCGCCATCTCCATCACATGCTTTTATTGGTTGCCATCATCAGTTAAGTGATACAAAATGTAATTTCTAATGAACAATTCTTATTGTCCGGAGTTTCATATAAATTCGAATCACCACGATCTGTCTAAATTTTGATGAGGAATTTTGAAGAGGTTCAACTGTATCCATATTGTTGATGATGATAACAAGACTCGATCATCCAGTGTGTTATGCTCCATTGCCTCCTGGGACTTTTCACTGTCATACCAGGACTTCCTGGATTTAAGCCCCGGGCCTAATTACAGAAAAAAGCACTTTCTCATTTAAAATGTTACCTGAAATTAAGCTCTATTTCGGCAGCTAATGCTTTCTTACCTAAATGGGGGACACCCTTTGCTGAAAAAATCAGAAACTGTTAAGGCTTAAAAAAATAGGTTCTTAGGCAATGACTTTGGAGAGATGGACTTAGTGGCATTGCTTCCTATATGAAGCTGTAGTGGTGAATGGGTTGAGGGTATGTATTCCTATAGACTGGAGAGCTAATACACTGGTACAATCGATGATGCCATGTTCCCTGATGTTGTTTGTCATGCTTCCTGGTTCATTAATACTCTTTCCGCATTGTCATGTTTCCTGGTTCATTGATTCTCTTTCCACATTGACATGTTCCTTTGTTCTATTAACAATCAGCTTTGTTCTGTAAATCCACTTTATTCTATTACTCAGATTTGTTCTGTTTGTTTGCTTGTTGTTGTTAAACACCGCACTCAGCAATATTCCAGCTATATGACGGCGGTCTGTAAATAATCAAGTCTGGACCAGACAATCCAGTGATTAATATCATGAGCATCAATCTACGGAATTGGGATCAATGACATGCATCAACCAAGTCAGTGAGCCTGACCACCCGATCCCGTTAGTCGCCTCTTACGACAAGCCTAGTCGCCTTTTACGGCAAGCATGGGTTGCTGAAGACCTATTCTACCCCGGATCGATTTGTTCTGTAATTCAACTTACCGCTATCACTCAGTTTCTCTGTAATTCAACCTTTTCCTTGCATATATGTCTTAATTTTCTATTCTTTGAAAGAGTTCTAACATGATTATGGACAAGTAGAATTATTTATGCTTCTTAATGAAATTATCAATTTTCCATCATCAAGTTCTGCTGTCATTCCCACCCAGTAAGCTCAAGTCCCCAATCTCATTAAAATCAGATCTTAGTTTTCACTATCGCTAAACAATGATCTGAGAACATCCCCTCACGGGTCACGTCAGAACGACCTTTCATCCAACCAATCAGAGCATCGCTTACCAGATCATGAAAGTGACAGTAGGAATGTGTTTTCTGATCATGCAACCACGATATATTTAACACGGGGTATTCCGAACGACAGTTTCGGGTTTTATGATTATATCCTTACAATCTCGGCCATCTATGAGCAATTCCAGAATGTTCTTATCAGTTTTAGAATTTTTAATCAAGAATACGTCAAAATATGTTTCGGAGCGTAGTTGCCAGTTTGAAACTAGTGTCGTAAGCTCAAGAAAGCTGCCTTCTGATTGTTTAATGTAGATTTTTTGTCAGTCATTTCATTGGTCGGTCAAAATTCGCGAAAGGTCGTTCTGACGTGACCCGTAATGGGATGTCCTCAGATCTTTGTTTAGCAGTAGCGAGAATTAAGATCTGATTTTAATGAGATTGGCTCAAGTCACTAGACAAATCATATTCCATACATATTCATCAAACCAGACAAATAATAAATTGTGTAAAAAGTGTGGAAAAAAATAACACATGGTTTAACATTGTTGTGTCAAACTCTGAGGAACCTGAGAAACAGTTTGACTCTCCGGGTGTTTGAGTCCATCATTCACAACAGAAGAAGAAAGATCTGTCATACGGAATGAATAAGTTAATGTTAAACATGCAGCGAATTCAGGTTTTGACTCCAGATAATAAATGACTCTGTAATTTCTCAGTTTAGACAGACAGTATCAGTCTGAGACTTCAGCCACTAACCAGGAGCCCTGTCTAGTAAAATTCTGTTTGGTTTTGTAAGATCCGCTAATAAATGCTGATGAAGCAGAAATGTACTGAAATTTATGCAAAGAGCCAAGTTTGGGTTAAATTGTTTGGTACAGACAACAGGATAAATTTGAGCCGACTGAAAATTTCACCCATCAGATTTGACATATCAGAGTTCCGATAAGATTGAAGGATTGGCCAGTGCTGGACAATCAGTTCCACACAGCTGAGAATTTGATAAATCAGAGTTCAACACCACATAGATCAGCTGTGGATGAATGTAGCATGTATCTTGCCTGGTGAGTTGGGCAAGCAAAGCTGTTTTTTTACACCAAGGAATACTTTGGCAAAGAGATTCAGCTGAGTTTGTTTGTGTCATGAAACAATTTTTTCACACTGTCGGTGGTTTGTCGATCTGTTACTATGGTTACTGCTCCTGTTTGGAATATTTCACATTTTTTTTCAAAATTCTTGAATTGCATTTTATCCCTTTCAATTTCCACTATTTTCTTTTTTGCTTCAATTACCATGTTGTGGCCTTCACCTCCCCCCCGGCATTAAGCTTTGTCCAGTTGGGATGAATATACAACACATTTTGTTTAATTTTATAAATAGGTAAATTAATTATTTTATATAATATGATAATTGAATAATTTAAAGAAATTGGAAATATTTGTTTTGGGATAAATTCCAATGTTTGTGTTCATTTGCTTTTGTTGTTTTCATGCTTAAAAAAATGCTTGCTGCTTCTTGTGCAATATCATGTCAAGTGAACAGTTCCTTCAAAACCTTATATTTTCAGCATTTTAAACCATCTTCACACTTTCTCATAAGCATAATGGGAACAGTCACTGAACTCAACCACTCAACTCAACCCCTCAACTCAACCTCTCAACCCCATAACTCAACAACTCCACTCAACCTCTCAACTCCTTAACTCAACCCTTCTACTCAACCAAATTTAACAGTAGAAACTGGAAAAAGTAAAATTAAGTCATCCAATCAGTTACAAGTACAAAGAATTCATGTATCGACCTAAATCCTTTTTCTCCTTTTGCGTCGATCTTGTCGTTTCATTGTTTACCTTTCATTTAACCTGGTCCTAGTTTCTGTGAACTGGTATGTCCTGGCTTTTACTACACGTTTCATGCAACTCTTTCTGTTAACTTGTACATCAGTCATTCTAATATTCATGGAGAAATAATTGTAACAATGTTCCTTGATAATACCTAGATTTGAATATGTAGAACTGAAAATTTACGATCTTACTTTCAGACCAGGGAAAAGAAACCAGAAGATGGTATGTATCGTCTGTTTACTCCGTGGTCTAGTGGTAGAGCGGTAGAGCGCCCACACGGGGATGTCTCCGTGGTCTCGTGGTAGAGCGCCTGCCTGGAGATGTCTCCGTGGTGTAGTGGTAGAGCGCCTGCCTGGAGATGTCTCCGTGGTCTCGTGGTAGAGCGCCCACCCAGGGATGTCTCCGTGGTCTCGTGGTAGAGCGCCTGCCCGGGGATGTCTCCGTGGTCTAGTGGTAGAGCGCCCATCCGGGGATGTCTCCATGGTCTAGTGGTAGAGCGCCCACCCGGGGATGTCTCCATGGTCTAGTGGTAGAGTGCCCTCCCAGGGATGTCTCCATGGTCTAGTGGTAGAGCGCCCACCCGGGGATGTCTCCGTGGTCTAGTGGTAGAGCGCCCATCCGGAGATGTCTCCGTGGTCTAGTGGTAGACCGTCTGCCCGGAGATGTCTCCGTGGTCTAGTGGTAGAGTGCCCACCCGGGGATGTCTCCGTGGTCTAGTGGTAGAGCACCTTCCCGGAGATGTCTCCCTGGTCTAGTGGTAGACCGTCTGCCCGGAGATGTCTCCGTGGTCTAGTGGTAGAGCGCCCACCCAGGGATGTCTCCGTGGTCTAGTGGTAGAGTGCCTGCCCGGAGATGTCTCCATGGTCTAGTGGTAGAGCACCCTCCTTGGGATGTCTCCGTGGTGTAGTGGTAGGGCGCCCACCCGGGGATGTCTCCGTGGTCTAGTGGTAGAGCTCCCTCCTTGGGATGTCTCCGTGGTCTAGTGGTAGCGCGCCTGCCCGGGGATGTCTCCATGGTCTAGTGGTAGAGTGCCTGCCCGGGGATGTCTCCATGGTCTAGTGGTAGAGTGCCTGCCCAGAGATGTCTCCATGGTCTAGTGGTAGAGCGCCTGCCCGGGGATGTCTCCATGGTCTAGTGGTAGAGCGCCTGCCCGGAGATGTCTCCGTGGTCTAGTGGTAGAGCGCCTGCCTAGAGATGCCTCCGTGGTCTAGTGGTAGACTGTCTGCCTGGAGAGCTAGCACTATAAAATTGGCAATAATCCGGGCTAGTACAAGCATCCATGCACTCACACACACGCGTCACTATATAATTGCAATAATCTTAATCGCGACATTAAACCCCATTTCACCTCATCCTTTACTTGTTGAAATATTCTGTTACTAAACATTCATCCTATGTGTGCATTAGCAGTGGCCACAGATGCCTTTGCGACTATGCTTGTAAGTTGTGACTAACAGGACCGGATGGTCAGGCTCGCTGACTTGGTTGATGCATGTCATCATATCCCAATTGCGTGGATTGATGCTCATGATGTCAATCACTGGATTGTCTGGTCCTGACCCGATTTTTATATAGACCACCCTCATATAGCTGGAATATTGCTCAGTGCGGTATTAAACAAACAAACAAACAAAACACAGATGCCATAACAGATGAAATAAACAATGATTTAAGAACGTAGTTAACTGAAAATCTTATTGCTTTATGTAAATTATTCCAAGTGTTTCTGCTTGCGTCGTCTATGTTGAGTTCATCTCTCATATTTGTGTTTATCATGCTCTCTGAAGAGGCGGCAACTCCAGGTAATATAACCATCATTGATCACAGCTTCCTGGGTTTGGGGAATCATACTGTTTGTGTACTTTAGGATTTAAAGATTTTCATCTAACTGTTTTGTTTTGTTTGGTCGAAATAAACATATACTGCTCAAAGATGTGAAGATGTCACATGTTCTGCTCTGCAGCTCCAAATATATCTGCACCGCCTCCGTGGTCTAGTGGTAGAGCGTTCACCCGGAGAGCAGAAGGTCCGGGGTTCGATCCCCGGCCGCGTCATACCAAAAGACGTTAAAAGATGGTACTTGTTATTACCCTGTCTGGCGCTCGGCATTAGAGAGCTAAAACAAGGACTGGTCGGCTCGGAGTCAGTTTACTGTGTCTGAGTGGGTTATTCATGTTAAACTGCGGCATGGTATCTCAGTGTGCTAGCACTATAAATCAGCATCAGCCCGGACTAGTACAAGCAGACACACACACACACACACACACACACACACACACACACACACACACACACACACACACACACACACACACACACACACACACACACACACACACACACACACACACGTCGCTATATAATCGCAATAATCTTGGACGCGATGTTAAACCCATTTTCACCTCACCTCACCGAATATCTCCAAATATCTCAGCAGTATAGTGGCAATCCAGTCTGAAGCATGCAGCATGTTTGATGCCCTGGGTTGTTGTTCCAGATGAGGATGATGAGATCGAGATGATGGTTCGAGTGGGATCCGGGCGAGATCGCAAAGTGGATCTGAAACATGCAGTATCTGTGGAAGAGAAGACCCCGAAGAAATCACGTCAGAGACTGACTTCAGAGTCCAAGGACAAGAAGGAAGAGGTATGTTTTTGTTCCAAAAACACAAAAAAACATTGTGGTCATGTACAGATCACTGAATTTTTCTCATAAGGCTAAAAAATGTAGTAGTCTTGGTTCTCAGGCACCGCCCACAGCATCATAAAGTCTGCCGCACGTTTCGTTTTTATTTCCATTTTCAAAAAAATGTAAAAATCCTAATACAATGCGATCCAATATGGCAAAAAGTTATTTCCTTTTGAATGCACACTGCTTTACTGCGCATCTCGTGTTGTGGTCATGGCGGCAATAGGAATTTGTTATCTTGTTTACATAGGGAGGCCCTTTCCAAGGTTGATGGTACACAACTGTTTATTTGGGTACATGTACATACTAGTTTGAACAAGCAAAAAAAAAACAAAATAAGTCGGCCCGTCCTCACTATATTTTCAAAAGTCATTGCCTGAGAACCAATTCTTTGCTTATTTTAGTCCTAGACTAACAGGTTTTTTTTACGTGTGTTGAGATTATGTGGATGTTGCCAGGGAACATTGCAATCAAGAATGATCTTTGTTTTAATTGAAAATCTTATCAATTATTAAGAATCTCTTTCTCAGAGGCCACATCAAGTGTCAAGTTGCCAATAGGGATCACTTCCACCATTGTTCTTTGAAATCAAAACTTTACATCACGGAAACTTGTGAACTAACGAGATCTTTTCATCAATCTGATTTTATTTCACCAGGAAGAAGAGGCTGAGGATTTGCCCAAAGTGTCCTTCATAGAGATCCTGAGGTTGAACTCGCCGGAAGCTCTTTACATCTTGTTCGGCTGTTTTGCTGCTGTCATCAATGGCGGGATCCAGCCTGCTTTCTCCGTCATATTTGCAGATATTCTTGGGGTAAGCCAACACGAAGATCCGTGTTGGAACTGGTCTTCAGCAACGAATGCTTGTTGTAAGAGGCGACGAACGGGATGTGGTGGTTAAGGCTTGTATTGATTGATGCTCATGATGTTAATCCCTGGATTGTCTGATCCAGACTTGATTATTTCATATAACGTGTATATGGAACTACATCTATGACTAGTTTAATACAGCCCCCTCTGGTTGAACGGAACTCTCCCTTTCTGGTTCATTCGTCACCACTCGCCTCTTTCCGTAACCTGCAAGAAAATTTGTCTCCCAGTCAATGAATGTTATTTGCGAAAATACCACAAACCAATTAAAATGAGCGTGTGACTTCAAGTACTTCCGCCAAAGAATCCCTCAGGAATAATGTTTGATTTACATATCTCTTGCATCTAAACATATACCCAAGACACAGTTAAATGTGTTCAATCATACTGTATAATACCTTAAGTCCCGATGTGTCTTAAATGGCATCTGGAATATATATGACATGTGGGAAATATACGTGAATCATTACGCAACGAGTTGACAATTCTTTTAGCTATGCCCCTTTGCACTAAGACGGAACCCTGTTGCAAAAAATGGCCATGAGAGGGTCACGAGTCGCTATTTGGCTTGTCCCGGAATAACACGAGTTGGTCATGAATGTTTCTGGTTATGAAAAAGGAGGCGCTCTCTCGTTTTATCACTGCAATTATGATCAGAGTCTAGCGTATCTGATTATTGCCACAAGTGACCCTGGAGGTGTTGTAAGGAAGAGTGTAGAAACATCACGTGGATGAGAATCAAACTAGGATGCCATTTCCTGTTGCAGGTCTACCAGAAATCTGTCGAGGAACAAGACAGGGATGTGAGAATGTATGCCCTTATCCTCTTGGGACTTGGAGTCCTGTCCTTGTTTACCAACTTTGCACAGGTGAGCACAGCCTATAGAGTAGACACACTGATCACCTGCCAGTAGACCTGTGCACAGGTGAGCACAGCCTATAGATTAGACACACTAATCACCTGCCTGTAGACCTGTGCACAGGTGAGCACAGCCTATAGAGTAGACACACTAATCACCTGCCTGTAGACCCGTGAAGATCCGGGGTAGAATAGGTCTTCAACAACCCATGCTTGCCGTAAAAGGCGACTAGGCTTGTCGCAAGAGGCAACTAACGGGATCAGGTGGTCAGACTCGCTGACTTGATTATGTCATGTCATCGTATCCCAATTGCGTGGATTGATGCTCATGATGTCAATCACTTGATTGTCTGGTCCAAACTTGATTATTCACAGACTGTCGTCATATAGCTGGAATATTGCTGAGTGGGGCGTTCAACAACAAACAAACAAAACATGCCTGTATTCTGTAACTGCACTGCTGACATTGAGAAAGATCCAGGTGGGGTACAGATAAAGTTGTTCATCGCCTTCTTTCAGAGGCAAATAGTCTTGTTTCTTTGACTATTATTAACTGAGCTATTTAGTCCAAGCAGGATTGAAGTCGCCGACTTTGTTACTTTTGGTCCTTGCCTTGAGTATCACTTTTTGACTTCCTTTTAGTTATGGGGGGCACGGGTGGCCCAGGCGTCTAAGGCACCGCGATTCGCTGTGCAGAGTTGCGTCCCTTGGGCACACCAGAAACCTATGATTGTGGGTTCGAATCTTGGTTCGCCACGATTATGTTTCTAGGTTTGTCAGCACGGTGGGTTTCACCGAAGTGGTAAACGTCTGAGACCTGCATCGCTTCGGGCTTTCCTCCCACATTAAGCTGACACGCCGTGATATAACTGGAATGCTGTTAAAAGCGGCGTTAAACCCAACTCACTCACTCACTCACTTTTAGTTATGGTTAAATCACTCTAAGGTCTTGGTTGAAAATGTGCAACTGCGAGCTCAAGATTTTACATTTTCAACCCAGTGGTTTAACGAACTTATGAATTGCAATATATACCAGAAAAATATAAAAACATTGGTATGCCTTATAGTGAAACAATACAGTAGTCGCAGTATAAAGACAACATAAGATTCATGTTAAGAGAGTTTCTGTTGACAACAATCAGTGTGTAAATAATCCAAGTGTCATGGGGAATCCATCTTTGTTTCAGTCTGCCTTCTTTGGTATCTCTGGTGAGAACATGACAGTGAGAATTCGGAGGAATGTCTTCAAGGCCATGTTGAGACAGGTAAGAATAAGCCGCCTCGTGATTGGTTGGTTGGTTTGTTGTTTAACGCCGCACTCAGCTATAATATTTCAGCTATATGAGGCGGCCTGTAAATAATTGAGCCTGGACCAGACAATCCAGTGATTAATATCATGAGCATCGATCCACGCAATTAGGATCAATGACATGCATCAACCAAGTCAGCGAGTCTGACCTCCTGATCCTGTCAGTCGCCTCTTACAACGAGCATAGTCGCCTTTTAAAACAAGCATGCTGACTCGTGAAGGCTGTCAGTCTGTTGTAACTTTTTATGTGGTCATCATCTGGTCTGTATGTCCATACATCCCTCTGTCCATCCATAATTCGTTTCCGGATCATAACTTGAAATCCGTGAAACATTTTCATCCAAACTTGGTACATATATCAACCAAGGGCTGAAGTTGGGGTGGGTGTGTGTGTGGGGGGGATTTGTGATCTCCTGATGACTCTTGTCATTATATCCATGAAAGAAAATGCCGATGAATTTATCCTTCCAACATTTTCGGTTATTTCATTTCAGTATGTCCATGAATGAATATGTTGATGTATTTTTAAATAAGGACAGCTCAAATTATTCAACTGTCTTACTGCTAAGCCTATCTTAAGTGGTGCACAATTTGGATAAATGAAAGAAATAGTTTTTTTTCTTTTATAGGGAGTTAACCCTAAATCAATCCTGACGATATTACTGTTCATATTTCCCCAGAAAATTAGAGAACAAGGAAGTGTGATGTATCAGAATCTGCTGCTTTTTTGTTTTTGCTGACACATTGTCTCCGTGTAATTAGTGAATTTTTCAGCTTCTAGTTCTGTTACAGTACAAAGTGATGTTTGCACAATTTACTTGGGACTGGCAATATTGGCGTAGTCTGTCTTTAAGCACTGTATGGAACTGTTCTTCATTGTACACTGATGCCTTGTAGGAGATCTCCTGGTTTGATGACCATAGGAATAACCTGGGCGCCTTGACCACCAGACTGGCCACAGATGCTTCAAGAGTGCAGGGGGTAAGTGGATGATGGACTTCTTATATATGATCCTTGGTCTGTCAGCACCATAGCCATGCAGGATCCGCTGATTGTGAGTTCCAATCTGAGATTTACCCTGATTAGGATCCTTGGTCTGTCACAACGGACCCATGCAGGATCTGCTGATTGTGAGTTCCAATCTGAGATTTGCCCTGATTAGGATCCTTGGTCTGTCACACCGGACATATGCAGGATCCGCTGATTGTGAGTTCCAATCTGAGATTTGCCCTGATTAGGACCCTATAACTGAAATACTGTTCAGGGCAGCGTTCCACCTACCTCATTTAATTCATAATTGAAAAAGGGGCGGTCGGGTAGCCTAGTGGTTAAAGCGTTCGCTCGTCACGCCGAAGACCCGGGTTCGATTCCCGACATTGGTACAATGTGTGAAGCCCATTTCTGGTGTCCTCCGCCGTGATATTGCTGGAATATTGCTAAAAGCGGCGTAAAACCATACTCACACACTCTTCATCGAAAATAATTATTTGATATCCACTGATTTCCTCTGCAGGCTACCGGTGTCCAACTTGGCATGGTCGTCATGAACTTGGCTAACATGGGCAGTGCTATTGTCATCGCCTTCATCTTCAGCTGGAAACTGACCCTGGTCATCCTGGCTTTTGTACCCTTCATCATGGCGTCCGGCTTCATCGAGATGAAGGTCCTGGCTGGAGTTGCCGGCAAGAACAAAGAAGCTCTTGAGGATGCTGGCAAGGTGATGCCCTGTTACTTTGGCCCACTAGTAAGGCCTGACCGAGCCAGTACGATTCTATTTGGTCTAGTAAGCTCAGCTAAGAGGTCCATATAATACACTAAACCCTACTGAAAATGGTGCTTTGAACCATGTTTAGGCGACTTGGTTGATGCATGTCATTATTTACCAATTACTTCGATTGATGCTCATGATATCAATCACTGGATTGTCTGGTCCACACTTGATTATTTACAGACCAACGTCGATCCCAATTGCGTGGATCGGTGCTCATATCAATCACTGGATTGTCTGGTCCAGGGTCGATTATTTACAGACCGCCGTCATATAGCTGGAATATTGCTAAGTGCGGCGTTAAACAACAAACAAACCAAACAAACAAACAGACCAACATCATACAGCTAAATATTGCTGGGTGAGGCATTAAACAACAAACAAACAAACAAGTACACTGACTGGCCCCAGTACAACAGGGCCTTGTGGGAGCCTCACGGGTAATGCGTTCACTCTCCATGCTAAAGGCGTGGGTTCAAGTCGCCGCTAGGTTACAATTAGGGGTGACTATTGGTCTGGAAATCACTATTGCGATAACTTTTGATATTGAAAGAAATTATTGCGATAACTATTGATATTGCAAGCAACTATTGCGATAAATATCGATAGTTTTCAGTGTATCGTTTTAGATGGATTTTAGAGTTGAATTAAACCTTTGAACTGAAGTTTTCTTTGAATGTGATAACCATAACAACAAATAAAAAGTAAAGTTTGAGATATGACTGATTTGCTTTTTCTTTACCCTAATAATTTAAGAAAAAGAAACTTCAACATTACCATGTGTAAATTACTACCACTCATGATCAAATGAAAAACAAATTTGAACAGCATTTCATGTATTTTATTGAAACTAAAACAATCGAAACTATCGATATTCCTAATTGAAATCGATACTATTGATTGGAAACTGATTTAACAATTGATTTATTGACTTTAAGTGCTTACCAATAGGGATATATCGATATTTCGATTTATCGTGACACCCCTAGTTACAATATGTGAAGCCAATTGTTGGTGCCGTCTGCCGTGATGCTGGTGGAATATTGCTAAAAGTGGCATCATACATACTCAACCGTTACACCTGTTCCTGATATTTTCCATTTACAGGTGGCTATTGAATCTGTTGAGAATATCCGCACAGTTGCATCATTGAGTCGAGAGCCCACGTTCTACACATTGTACCAGCAGAAGCTGACTATCCCTTACAACGCAGCCCTCAGGAAAGCTCACATGGTTGGAATATCCTTCGGGGTGTCCCAGGCTATTGTCTTCTTTGCTCATTCAGCTGCTTTTTACTTTGGCGCCTACCTTATCAAGAACGGAGAGGCAGATTATGTAGATGTCTTCAAGTGAGTCCTTCTCAACATACAGCCACAACAAATGTAACTCATTGTCTGTGATTTTAGTAAGCCCCGCCACCAAATATGGCCGACGTAATAACAAGACCTTTTAGATGTTTGATTCTACTTTGTTGTCATTTCTCACTGAGTCCTTCTCATCTTCCACACAGAGTATTTGGTGCTATTGTATTTGGCGCCATGGCCATTGGACAGGCCAGTGCCTTCGCCCCCGACGCTGCCAAGGCCAAGGTGTCTGCACAGAGGATTGTCTTTCTACTTAAGAGCGAACCCACTATTGACAGTGAGTCCACAGAAGGAGAGAAGCTCGGGGTAAGTGGTAGGCAGTTGCCTCCCTTTGCTGGGCAGGATCTGCTGGTCATGGGTTCTTATCCCAGATTCTCCCCCAGTATGAATCTTAGTCCTTGTAGGTTTCTCCAAACTGGTAAACGTCTACAAACTTTAACTGTGTTAACACTTAACTTTCAATGAGTTTGAAGATTTGACTTTTGGTGTTTGATTCTTGGCTTCACTTTCAGGATAACTATTCAAGTAAGGTGGCGTTGAGTGACGTGAGGTTCCGCTACCCGACCCGCCCAGACGTGACGGTTCTGCAGGGTCTGACGGTGGACATAGAACCTGGTCAGACTCTGGCCTTCGTAGGAAGCAGTGGGTGTGGCAAAAGTACCTCTGTTGCGCTCATTGAGCGCTTCTACGATCCTGAAGCCGGTGTTGTGGTACGTATTGTTGGGGGTCCATGTCATAACTGTGAGGTACAACTCATTGAGCGCTTCTACGATCCTAAAGCCGGTGTTGTGGGACGTATTGTTGGGGGTCCATGTCATAACTGTGAGGTACAGCTCATTGAGCGCTTCCTTCTATCCTGAAGCCGGTCTTGTGGTATGTATAGTGGTGGGTCCATGTCATATTCGCGGAGGTACAGCTCATTGAGCACTCAAAGATCCTGAAGCCGGTGTTATGGTAAGTATAGTAGGGGGTCCATGTCATAACTGTGAGGTACAATTCATTGAGCGCTTCTACGATCCTAAAGCCGGTGTTGTGGTAAGTATAGTAGGGGGTCCATGTCATAACTGTAAGGTACAATTCATTGAGCGCTTCTACGATCCTGAAGCCGGTGTTGTGGTAAGTATAGTAGGGGGTCCATGTCATAACGGGGTTATCTGCCGTGGCTGGTCCCTTGTGTATGGTGCTCCAGTAGGGATTTATCCAGACCTGCTCAGAGGCCGATATTCGGCCCCAAGTCTGCAGCAAATGTCAGTGAAAGTTACCAATTTGGAATTTAGCATTTCCCAATTCATGCAGTTATAGAACTATTGCTTTGTCTTTATCAAAGTGACTACTATTTCATTGATAACAGGACCAATATAGAGGAAGATGCTTTATTGTTAAGTTTATACTGGATTGAATGCCCTGATAGAATTAATTTGCATCTGATTTTAGGAAAATAAGAACTTTTAAAAATCCCAATTTTGAACATTTTAGCTAAATTTTCCCCCATTTTGCTCGTTGTTGGGATTGCTGCCATCTCTCTCATAAAGTCTGATGTCTATTTTTCAGAGCCTGGACAGGTACGACATTAAGAAGTTGAATCTCCAGTGGCTGAGATCTCAGATCGGTATAGTATCTCAGGAACCGGTTCTCTTTGACTCCAGCATTGCCGAAAATATTGCATATGGTGATAACTCAAGGGAGGTAACCATGGCCGAAATCATCGAAGCAGCAAGAGCTGCCAACATCCACTCCTTCATCAGCTCATTACCGGCGGTAAGCTGCATTTGTCAAATCATGAAGTCTTAAAAATTTGACTTGTTCCCATCACTTTCATTGCTGGTAAACTGAATGGGGATTCTGGATCAGAAATGATCCCCAACATCAGTGTATGAATTCCATTGATGGTGCTAATTGGACCCGTGAAGATTCTGGGGTAGAACAGGTCTTCATCAACCCATGCTTGCCGTAAAAGGTGACTATGCTTGTTGTAAGAGGTGACTAACGGGATCGGGTGGTCAGGCTCGCTGACTTGGTTGATGCATGTCATCAATCCCAATTGCATGAATCGATGCTCATGATATCAATCACTGGATGATCTGGGCCAGACTCGAATATTTACTGACCTAAAAGTCACTGGTTGGCTTGGCCGCACTTGATTATTAATAGCTTGCTAGTCTTGTCTATCCTTGTCGTAAGAGGCGACTAACGGGATCGTGTGGTCAGGCCCGCTGACTTGGTTGATGTATGTCATTGATCTCAATTGCGTGGATCGATGCTCATGTCATTCACTGGGTTGTCTGGTCCAGATTTGATTATTTACAGACATCCGTCATATAGCTGAGTGAGGCGTAAAACAACGAACAAACAATAGTAACAGCTTGCCTTGATATAGCTGGAGTATTGCTGACTACGATGTTAAAGAAGAATATCACTCACACAGAGGTGCCAACATGTATGATTCTGGCGTCATCGTTACGATTTTGAGCCCAAAATGAAGCTATTACCCTTGCTAAAGAAATGAATGTCTTCTACACATGTATTCAATACCCTGCAATATTCATCTATAACAATTGATATCACTTGCTAACTGTTTGATAGGCATTACTTAGAACTTGATGGGTGACAAAGTAGAAACAATTTATGGATAACAGCTTCTTTAATACTGTAAAGGTGACGTTACGGTATAGTTCCTTAATCCGTTGTCAAGCTTGACGGTATAAGGATCTTTACCAAAACGTAGCCTTTACAGTATTAAAGAAGTTGTCATGTTGGCGCTTTTTATGTCGAATACGGTAGTTCAAAACCATAACATAACAGTCAGCTAAATGTTTATCTCTAATATGGTTGTTCCACACAACCTAACCTTGTTGTCATTTGTCAACTTGCCCACACCATGAGTATTCCATGTGTAAGTTAGTATAAATATCGGTCTGGTAGAAGTGTTTTCAGACTTGTTCATGTCTTCCTAGAAACATGCTCGTCCCAGGGAAGTCTATGTACGATCCCCATTGTAGTACGGTAAACTATGGTTATAACGAACTCAAAGGGACCACTAATTTTAGTTTGTTATAACCGCAGTTTGTTATGAGCATAATAAATACAGCATATAAACAAACGACCGGGACCAAAAAATAAGTTTTTTATATCCATCATTTTGTTATAACCGTGTTCGTCATAAACGTAGTTGACTGTATGTGTTTTATCAGGTACTTATGTTCTACCTTTATATACTACCCCCGTATGTCTGAACATCATTGTATATTTGAGTTATAGCCATACAACTTGAAGGAATGATGAGTCGAGACATTACACTTTTGGATTCGCTGTACATTTTGGCAACGTGGAATATTGATGTTCCTCTCTAACGTTGACATGGTGTGAGATGTGTACCTCATGTTGACAGGGCTATGAGACTGACGTTGACGTGGTGTGAGATGTGTACCTCATGTTGACAGGGCTATGAGACTGACGTTGACGTGGTGTGAGATGTGTACCTCATGTTGACAGGGCTATGAGACTAACGTTGACGTGGTGTGAGATGTGTACCTCATGTTGACAGGGCTATGAGACTCACGTTGACGTGGTGTGAGATGTGTACCTCATGTTGACAGGGCTATGAGACTAACGTTGACGTGGTGTGAGATGTGTACCTCATGTTGACAGGGCTATGAGACTCACGTTGACGTGGTGTGAGATGTGTACCTCATGTTGACAGGGCTATGAGACTGACGTTGACGTGGTGTGAGATGTGTACCTCATGTTGACAGGGCTATGAGACTGACGTTGACGTGGTGTGAGATGTGTACCTCATGTTGACAGGGCTATGAGACTCACGTTGACGGGGTGTGAGATGTGTACCTCATGTTGACAGGGCTATGAGACTCACGTTGACGTGGTGTGAGATGTGTACCTCATGTTGACAGGGCTATGAGACTGACGTTGACGTGGTGTGAGATGTGTACCTTATGTTGACAGGGCTATGAGACTAACGTTGACGTGGTGTGAGATGTGTACCTCATGTTGACAGGGCTATGAGACTAACGTTGACGTGGTGTGAGATGTGTACCTCATGTTGACAGGGCTATGAGACTGACGATGACGTGGTGTGAGATGTGTACCTCATGTTGTCAGGGCTATGAGACTCACGTTGACGTGGTGTGAGATGTGTACCTCATGTTGACAGGGCTATGAGACTGACGATGACGTGGTGTGAGATGTGTACCTCATGTTGTCAGGGCTATGAGACTAACGTTGACGTGGTGTGAGATGTGTACCTCATGTTGACAGGGCTATGAGACTCACGTTGACGTGATGTGAGACGTGTACCTCATGTTGACAGGGCTATGAGACTAACGTTGATGTGGTGTGAGACATGTAGCTCATGTTGACAGGGCTATGAGACGAACGTTGGCGGGGTGTGAGATGTGTACCTCATGTTGACAGGGCTATGAGACTCACGTTGACGTGGTGTGAGATGTGTACCTCATGTTGACAGGGCTATGAGACTAACGTTGACGTGGTGTGAGATGTGTACCTCATGTTGACAGGGCTATGAGACTCACGTTGACGTGGTTTGAGATGTGTACCTCATGTTGACAGGGCTATGAGACTCACGTTGACGTGGTGTGAGATGTGTACCTCATGTTGACAGGGCTATGAGACTAACGTTGACATGGTGTGAGATGTGTACCTCATGTTGACAGGGCTAAGAGACTAACGTTGACGTGGTGTGAGACTTGTAGCTCATGTTGACAGGGCTATGAGACTAACGTTGACGTGGTGTGAGACGTGTACCTCATGTTGACAGGGCTATGAGACTCACGTTGACGTGATGTGAGACGTGTACCTCATGTTGACAGGGCTATGAGACTAACGTTGATGTGGTGTGAGACATGTAGCTCATGTTGACAGGGCTATGAGACGAACGTTGGCGGGGTGTGAGATGTGTACCTCATGTTGACAGGGCTATGAGACTCACGTTGACGTGGTGTGAGATGTGTACCTCATGTTGACAGGGCTATGAGACGAACGTTGACATAGTGTGAGATGTGTACCTCATGTTGACAGCGCTATGAGACTCACATTGATGTGGTGTGAGATGTGTACCTCATGTTGACAGGGCTATGAGACTAACGTTGACGTGGTGTGAGATGTGTACCTCATGTTGACAGGGCTATGAGACTAACGTTGACGGGGTGTGAGATGTGTACCTCATGTTGACAGGGCTATGAGACGAACGTTGACGGGGTGTGAGATATGTACCTCATGTTGACAGGGCTATGAGACTCACATTGATGTGGTGTGAGATGTGTACCTCATGTTGACAGGGCTATGAGACTCACATTGATGTGGTGTGAGATGTGTACCTCATGTTGACAGGGCTATGAGACGAACGTCGGAGACAAGGGAGCCCAGCTGAGTGGGGGGCAGAAACAGAGGGTGGCCATTGCCCGTGCTTTAGTCCGGAACCCCAAGATCTTGCTGCTTGACGAGGCCACATCTGCCCTGGACACGGAAAGTGAAAAGGTGAGGATCATGCTCCTGTGTTTGTTCAGGACCTGAAATTATTCAAGTGTCTTAAAATTTGGGATTTAAAGTATTTTGCAATGATAAACCCTTTCCCCATGCTTGTCTCCCATGGGGATTGTGGGTTACAATTGGTCCTGGTACCCTGACAGCATGGATCGTTCATTGCAATATCGATCACTGAATTGTCTGGTCCAGACTGGATTATTTGTTAAACTGCGGCATGTTACCTCTAACATATATGACGTGATATATACGGACTCGTACAAGCACACACGCACACGCACACGCACACACACACACACACACACACACACAATGCATACACGTTGCTGTATAAGTGCAATAATCTTGGACGCGACGTTAAACACCATTTCACCTCACCTCACCTGATGGTCTCACATATGCATTACAGGTGGTACAGGAAGCCCTGGACAAGGCTCGGGAGGGCCGCACCAGCATTGTGATAGCACACAGACTATCAACGATACAGAACGCAGACAAGATCGTCGTCATCCGAAACGGCAAGGTGGCGGAGCAGGGGCGTCACACTGACCTTATGGCCAAGCAAGGTTTCTACTACAAGCTGAATATGGCCCAGATAAAACAGAAGTAGACCATATGGAACCAAAGCTTTCATGATGCATATGTACTTTAAGCCTCAGTGACACTTGAACAAAGCTATCAGTGGTGCCGTCTCCTCAGCAAGCGAGGTAACTGCCCTTGTTGATGGCGCTCAGTGTGTTTCAGAGTGAGTGTGAGGTCAGCCTTTGCCACGTTGATTCTGTGACTGCATTTGTCAAGCTGTTGTTTTTGTTATCTCTCCTCCAATAGTAAAGTGGGGATATATTTTATCCTAATTTTGAAATAGCATTGCAGCTTTAAGAAGATGTTGTCAGTTCATTGATTAACTACTTTTTGCAATTGTTGTGTAATATCTGGTAGAATTAAGCATATTCTACACTGTTCGTGGACCACTAGCCCCTAGTTTATGTCATTATTGTTTTCAGTGTGTTATATGAGACCATCATACCAAGGCAAGAGGGTTTACTCACTTTAAAAGTTCAGTTTCCACCCTTGCCAAACTAGGCTGGAATTATGGAGTTATATTTTGGCTGGTTTAATGAGTCTATGCATACTCCAATCCCAATCTTGTAACGATATCGACATCTGATTCATAAACTGCCGTGCCGAATGTTTTGATTGCAAGATTTGCAGAGCATGTGCATCGTCAACTGGGTGTCCACTCATATTTTTCCAAATCTTTTCATGTTTTAAGTCAAGGTGCTCAACTGATTTGATGCACTTCTGTTTTATTACAATAAAGATCTTGATTATCGATCAGATCGTCTTGACTGGGCACCGCCATTTTGTTTGAAGCAAATGCAAGTGATATCACTCGTAATAGCCACTGGTGGCGCTACGATCGAGCCAAGAAATTCTAGCCTGGTTCGGCAAATGGCTTGTTGTCTGAGACTACAGGTGTTACTGGAGTGAAAGGGTGAAATGTTAATTGTAATATACAACTTGACCATTGGTCAGACAATCACATATCAAGGATACACAAGTACTCACATCATTAACAAGTAATGTGTTAATTTGGACTGAAAGTATATTCTTATGATCGGGTGAAATCACATGGCATCATTATCCATGTGCTGAATTTCACACGGTTTTGTAGGTCCACAAGTTATAGTCCATATTCCGAACCGCGACGTCTTCGTTATTCCCGCCGTTGTTGGGACGTGACACAGGTCATGCTGTTTGGCTCGAGACATAGCAACATGTCTCCAGAATTAGGTTAGCTTTTAAAGGTGTTTTTATCATACTTACTCAATAGCCAGTCCTCCTTTGCCAATTTAAGGCACGGATTTGTTCAGGACTACTTTGTTAAATGTGATGTCCTCAAGATTGATACTCATTCGTGACAGTTGTCCTGTGACAGATGACCTGTGACAGTTGCCCTGTGACAGTTGCCCTGACAGATGACCTGTGACAGCTGCCCTGTGACAGCTGCCCTGTGACAGTTGCCCTATGACAGTTGCCCTGTGACAGATGACCTGTGACAGTTGTCCTGTGTCCTGATCGCAATTCTGTAGTTGATCACAATTCTGAAGTTGATCACAATTCTGTAGTTGATCACAATTCTGTAGTTGATCACAATTCTGTAGTTGATCACAATCTGTAGTTGATCACAATTCTGTAGTTGATCACAATTCTGTAGTTGATCACAATCTGTAGTTGATCACAATCTGTAGTTGATCACAATCTGTAGTTAATCCTGATAATCCGACATGGTATGAAGTGAGACAAATGATGTTGTTTTTCTAGGATACGTTCAGGGAGAAATTGCTGTGGTGTATATGATTGTGTGACATGTGTGTTTGAGGGCAGTAGCCAGTCAGACGAGGAATTATTCAGAATACCTTGCTAGCCACGGGCTACTGGGCAGGCAGCTATTTCACACATTGGTCTAGGGAACAGTAATTTGTTATTGGGCCAGAAGTTTTGAGCATCCAAGACCCTGCCCCTGCCTTATTGTGTCATTTGGAGCAAACCATCTCAAATACTTGTAGCAAATTAGTCAGAAACCTCCCAGATAAAAAGCTGTTGTGCAAATCTCACAAATATTAATATTTTAACAGTAAATGTGTTTTTTCCCTGACCTTTGAACTGGTTGTGTTTCCTTTGTCACCTTGCCCAAATTCTTGATGTCCAGAATGAGAAAAGAACTTATGCCTGACTGGACAAACCTTTACCGATAATTTTTTAGGCATATTTTTGTTGCCTTTTAAACAGTTATTTACTTCTCTGGTATGGACTTAAAGATGTGTTTATATATGTGGGCATAACATTTTTATTGCATAACGACATATTTTGCATGGGTCCATCAACTTACTGGCAATGCAATAAATCTATTATTTGTTTTTCACAAAAACTGCTTCAGCTCAGTGGCGTAATGCCGAATTTGGTAACAGTTGTGTCCCTTGGTACCAACATCTGCTGATAGTACTAAAAACGGTTTTGCCTCGATCGTATCTTTAGATTGCCAGCACTGCCTTGCTTATGGGTTTCACAAGCTGTTTTAGAATCAGCAGAAAGCAGGTTCCAAACATCTAAATTTATATGGTTCATTACACTGCTAGTCCCTGTGCAGAGTTAAGTCCCTTGTCCATGCCAGCATCACCATTGTCGTAACGTCTTCTATCATCAGATTCTCTCACATGCTTTATTTAACTTAACTTCCAAGTGATCTTAAGTTCAACAACTTTGGACCTCATCTTATATTATATATATTTTATTTTTCTTGTAATGGAGGCATCCCTGGATGAGGATAATTTTGCAAAGTCAGTGATTTTCCTGGAGACAAATTGCAATAGGAAATTTTCACGTAACATTTGAAGCAAATTTGAACGATATCTCATGACAATCAGTCCATCTCCTAGAAATTTTATTGAACTGAAACCATACAAGTTGAAGCATACAGATTTGGGATGAGTTGAAGGGAAAATTGTCCACGGTAATTACTGCACCAGATACTAACATGTGCTATAAGAAATGTCCTTAAACTTTTAGTATTTACAAAATATATATTTTGTCACTTATAATAAAATTATCACATTTTCCTGTGTAAAACTTTGACAAATGTTTCCGTTTCTGATTCTTGAAGTAACCATGGTAATGAACTGTGTCCCTGGTGCATCAGTGAATGTACATAATGTTCACGTTCATTTTGTAAATTAAAACTATTTCCATGTGTCAAATGTTGTTAATGAATGTGATTCTCGCATTAGTTACTTAATACCTCATTGACTCGGCACGTTTTATGCATTTAATATGTGTTGCTTTGTTTTTGTTGCAGAGCAGTTTAAGTTGATATGAGGAGAATCAAAATAGAATACAGGAAGTTTTGAATACACATTGCAGAATGTGACATTACATAACTAATTGAGGCCAGACCAGTTGTTTTTTGTGTGTTCTTGTGTTTACTGTAATATCAAGGATAAGGTAAACATAGTAATATTGAAATTGTGTGGTTGATTGAGAAAAATGTGTTTTAGCTGATCAGCCCTTAAATATAAAGTTTGTTTTATTGTCAAGAGTGAGTGAATACGTGAGTGAATTTACACCGCTTTTAGCAATATTCCAGTAATATAACGGCGGGCGTCACCAGAAATGGGCTTCACACATTGTACCCATGTGGGGAAACGAAACCCAGGTTTTCGGCGTGACAAGCGAATGCATTAACCACTAGGCTACCCGACCACCCCTTGTTGTCAAGAAACTAAGAAAAGGAGTAATTTGACCTGGACTCGTGTCCTGTACACGCGAGGTGTTTGTTTTATTACTCCTTGGTTTACGGATCCGCTGACTCTAAATTGCATAAATGTGGAAAGTCATTTTTTCACCAAAAGAAGCATTATTAGAATTGGCCCATCTTCCAGGCCTATTCCAGACCCTAAAATGGCGGAAACAGTATACATGTGGATAAAGGTGTGTATGGAAAGCTGGGAAGTATTGACAATAGTTTTCCATAACAATCAACCAACCAATGCCAATTCATTAAGTAGCCGAGATTAAATTTAACCAAAGAAAAGTTGAGGGAAGTGTGTGGTCGACAAATTTGGATAAGATATTTACACGTGATACTTCAGATGTATACTGCTCAAAAGAAGTTAAGAACACAGACAGATTACAAAGTCATATGAGAAAATCAGGTTTTCTTTGACTCCTATGAGTAGTATATTTTTTGTGCCCCCCCCCCCCCCCCCCACACACACACACACACATAAATCTGCCTGCTGGGATCAGGGCTCAGTTTACGTATTCTTTAAGGAGACAAGTTCTTGACAAACATTTTTTTGTTATTTTTGTTCATATCCCAATTACGTGGATCGACGCTCATGATGTTAATCACTGGATTGTCTGGTCCAGACTAGATTATTTACAGACCGCTGTCATATAGCTGGAATATTGCTGAGTGCAGCGTTAAACAACAAACAAACAAACAAACAAATAATATTGTGAACAAATCAGCTTGCATATTGAAATCGCATAATATTTCATAATCAAATGTTTGGATGCAAATTAGATGTCAACTATTGTACATGATAGTGATTTATTTTGAATGTTTAAAGGAGACTAACAGGACTTGGGTGGTCAAGCTCGCTGACTTGGTTGATGCATGTCATCGTATCCCAATTGCATGCATTGATGCTCATGATGTCAATCACTGGATTGTCTGGTCCCGACTTGATTATTTACAGACCATGGTTATATAGCTGGAATATTGCTGTGTACAGCGTTAATCAAGAAACAAAACAAAATCTCATTTGTAGTACATGTAGAGAGGTGATTTACAGTAAGCAGGCATACAATTTCAGTATTTATTCGAACTTCAAATTTCGATGTAAATCTGTGTCCCAAATGTTTCTTCTGTCCAACGCAATAGTTTTGTTGTCTGAGAACCAAGACAAGTGTTGAATGTATTCAGGGGAGATAACCAGTACAAGAATCTCAGCCGTTGTTCGCCAGTGATCTGTCTGTGGGGAACTGGTATGTTGTCATGCTCACTACTAATATGTCAATACAGGGACGTTTACAATGCAGCTTTGAAATTAGAGGACTTTATTGAGACTCGGCGTTGAGGAGAAGTTTATGTGACTAACCATATTTAGCAGCCAACACTGAAACTTGTATTGACAATCTTATTAAATACCAGTACATGTATGTAAAATTAAACATCCCAGAATGTATTGCTCCATGCATCACCAAACCATTTCTTTTTAATAATTTAGACGAAGGTAAGGTTAATCCAGAGTTTTCTTGGAAATGCATTTTTTAAAATGTGTTTAGATTTGTAGGTTTTCAGTATTTTAATGCAAGAATATTGCCCAAATCTTTACAAATTACAATTACAAATATTTTTTTCAGTGAAGTTTTGTTTTAAACCATGAATATCTTTCGTCAGAAGGAAAGTACGAGGTGAATAAGAGTGACATGGAGTTTCATATATATTTTTGTCTCTGTGTATGTTATTATTCAGAAGCCATGGCCACGTTTGTTTGCCTGTTTTGTTTGGCGTGATTTAAAAACACCTTTTGCCTTACCCGGTATCTGTTTTGGTAAATTGGGTTCCTAAATCCTGTAATGAAGACATGCACACAGTGAAAACAGGTTATTTATCTTTAATCAAGTAATATTTTTTATAATTTTTGTACAGCGATCCTTAAGAATTCTGAAGTGTTGATATAACAAAAACAAATCACAGTTGTTGTTTTGTCAGTTACTTATATTGGTATTTGTTTATAAAAAAATAAACTTGATCTCTATATATTCAACAATCTCTTGTTTTTGTTTCCATGAGGTCACACTGATTGTCACCCTGCTTGCACAAATTCCATTGGTAAAGATGCAGAGTGAGTGAGTGAGTATGGTTTTACGCCGCTTTTAGCAATATTCCAGCAATATCACGGCGGGGGACACCAGAAATGGTCTTCACACATTGTACCCATGTCGGGAATCGAACCCGGGTCTTTGGCGTGACGAGCGAACGCTTTAACCACTAGGCTACCCGACCACCTCTAAAGATGCAGAAGTAACAGTTGTGTGTGGCTAACTATTTTTGTTGTTGGACAGACAGACAAAAAACAGACAATTGAAATTAGAAAGAAAGTAAAAGAGTTGACAAAAAAATATTTTTGGCAACTGTTATAGTCAGGTGAAATGAAAACACGCCCCAAACACAATATGTTATTGGAACTTGTTGTTACCCTGCCTGGTGGTCGGCTATAAGGGGATAAAACAAAGACTGGTTGGTTCAAAGTCAGTACATGTATTACATATGCGTCCTTAATTGGAGTATCCATGTAATGAGTTGGCTAGCACTGTTAAACTGGTGTAAGTATAGACGAGTACGAGCAGGCATGGGCACCGATGCACACACACACGCACAGATGTACGCTGTGATATTGATAAATTCGGTGAAAAAGTTGCTCAAATACCGCCGCCTTTGTGGTCCGGTGGCAGAGCGTCCGCCCGGAGAGCCAATCCCTGGCCTCATCACACCAAAAGACGTTAAAAGATGGTACTTGATGTTATCTTGCCTGGCGCTCGTCATAAGGTGCTTAAACAAGGACTGGTCGTCTCGGAATCAGTACACTGTGTCTGAGTGGGATATTTATGTTAAATTGCGGAATGGTATCTTTACCGCTCATTTACATATGTTTAAAAAAACATGTACTCTCGCAATATAACTACTAGTATCTAACTGGGACTAGTGGGTTAATCTATGTCCACTGCTGTTTCATAGCTGTGAGGCGTTACACAACAGACAAACAGGCTCGGCGACTTGGTTGATTGCCTGTCATCAAACCCGATAGCGTGGATGGTTGCTCACAAGGGAATAGTGCTGACTGTGACTTATATTGATATCCACTGACAGACTCAAGTATCAAGTCCCTATTATACAGAGATAGATATTGCCGGTTAGATCACCAGTAACCTCTGCTGGTCGTATGAGGCGAGCATATGGATCGGTTGGTCAAGCTCAGCAGGGCCTGTGAAGATCCCAGGTGGAATTGGTCTTCAGCAATTCACGCTTTTCGTAAGAGGCGACTAACGGATCGAGTGGTCAAGCTTACTGACTTGGATGATGCATGTCAATTGCAGAGATTGATGCTCATGATGTCAATCACTGGATTGTCTGGTCCAGATTCAAATCTTTACAGACCGCCGTCATAAAGCTGGAATGTTGCTGATTGTGATGTTGATCAACAAACTATTGTTTAACCGGTACTGCGAGTCACTCGTGTTCCCTATTTTAAGCCCAGCAGAGATGACCAGTGTGGGACTGAGGGCAAGGATCACCAGCGCGAGTTTCAACCACAGACCCCCATTGACCTTGTTGACACACCAAACAGCTAGCACGCGCTCACTATGTTCAACTTTACTCTAAATGGGTTGGTGACCATTTCTCAGCCATTACTTTCACCTAATGTCACCACAGCCATTACGTTCACCTAATGTCACCACGACCATTACTTTCAACTAATGTCACCACGGCCATTGCTTTCAACTAATGTCACCACGACCATTACTTTCACCTAATGTCACCACGACCATTACTTTCACCTAATGTCACCACGACCATTACTTTCACCTAATGTCACCACGACCATTACTTTCACCTAATGTCACCACAACCATTACTTTCACCTAATGTCACCACGACCATTACTTTCACCTAATGTCTCCACGACCATTACTTTCACCTAATGTCACCACGACCATTACTTTCACCTAATGTCACCACGACCATTACTTTCACCTAATGTCACCACGACCATTACTTTCACCTAATGTCACCACGACCATTACTTTCCCCTAATGTCACCACGACCATTACTTTCACCTAATGTCACCACGACCATTACTTTCACCTAATGTCTCCACGACCATTACTTTCACCTAATGTCACCACGACCATTACTTTCACCTAATGTCACCACGACCATTACTTTAACCTAATGTCACCACGACCATTACTTTCAACTTATGTCTCCACGACCATTACTTTCACCTAATGTCACCACGACGATTACTTTAACCTAATGTCACCACGACCATTACTTTCACTTAATGTCACCACGACCATTACTTTCACCTAATGTCACCACGACCATTACTTTCACCTAATGTCTCCACGACCATTACTTTCACCTAATGTCACCACGACGATTACTTTCACCTAATGTCACCACAACCATTACTTTCACCTAATGTCTCCACGACCATTACTTTCACCTAATGTCACCACGACCATTACTTTCACCTAATGTCACCACGACCATTACTTTCACCTAATGTCACCACGACCATTA